TGTGTAGGCAGATGGCAAGAGAATTCATCTGTGTACTTGCTTAACTAACATACACATGAAAAGTTTTCAAAAGCCTTTTTCTTGCCTGCATTTGGGTAGATTTGCACAAGAGCAGTAGTGGAAGGTACGAACTGATACTGAGGCCTCCTGTCACATTTCAATTACCAATTTATGAGCATTACCAATTCATTTCAATTACCAATGTATGAAGTACTGCTTCTAATTATTATTTTTTTAATGCCAGTAAGATAGAATATTTTACCTTTTTTCAAAAACATTTGAGCCTTTTTTTTCCTGAAACTTCCCCATATATACTGTATTTTGCTTCTGTGTCAGTTATATGGCAAAGACTACTTAATACTAGCATAATTTTAGCAGCTGGAACAGGAACTTAGAAGTTCAAATACTGGGCAGTGTAGGGATTGCAGTTCTGTCAATATTGTGTACCAGAGGTTTGATGCAGAGGTTCTTGCGTGTTGTTTAAAAAGAATATGCACTGTACAGTAATAGGATAATTGTGTACTATTAAAGCTATATGATTTTCAGTTGTTCTGTGGAAGACTGTGATGCTTAAAGTCTGAATTTCAGCATATATTAGCTTTAGTTTTAATTTTAAAAGCAGCTTTTTGTTCTTCCGTAGGGCTGATGTCTTGCTTCTGGAAAAAACTGTTGGCTGTTCTCAGTGACATGCAAATACAAAAATGTAGCCTGTAGGTTGCTCAAATGAGAGATTATTAAGGATTTTTGCTGAATCAAAACTATAAGCTTGGCAATGTTTTTCTAGACATATTAAAATTGGTTACACCCATCTCTTGGCTACATAATATAGAGCTTTATTTGTTAGAACTGACTTATGTTTACAGTCTTATGCAGCCAATTTTCCTTTGCTGCTGCATCTGTTTCAAATGACTTATGACCTGTGTGTATTTCCTTACATGCTGATTATTGCTTTTTGAAATTGCTAGTCCTTGACCATAAAGTGCTATTTCTTCTGCAAATGAGAAAACATTTCACTGTTGCAATGGAAGTCTGAGAAACAGACATTCATGGTACATAGAATGAAACACTGCTTTGGATGATCGAGTCTCAGTAATTATGTTTCCTGTGGTAAAGATTACAATCCAGTGCCACCAGGTATCAAAGGCTAGGAAAGTGTTTAAAATTCATTTTGCTGGGGAGGAAATCCTAATGAGTTTGGTGAGTACCTCAGCTAAAAGAGTTATCTGTCCTGTAGCAGTGCAGGTCCATCCGGGCCACAATCCTGTTGCCCATGAGCACAGGCTTCATGAGGAAAGGAGTGTGTTAGCTATGGTGATATCAAGTGACAACTCCCTAGAGCCTTACTCCTGACTCAGGCAGCTCCTGAACCAGAAATGGGATCGTTGCATTTAAATGGCATAATTATTTTTCTCTTCCTTGAATGCTTATTGCATACTGACCCAGCATAACCTTTTAGTATCCATAATGTCTCATTGCAAGAATTATCATGACCTAAAATTGCCTTGAGTAAAGAGCTACTTCTGATAACCATTTTGCATCTGTCCTGTAGTAATTCAGTTTGGTATCTCCCAGACAGTGAGCAATCATTCATCCCCTTATTGTTCAGAATCTTTCCACTGCAGTCAGAATACTTAATACAGCAGTATATATAAAACATTAAGCTTTCATGAACTTTTCAGGCTTCAGTGTAATTGTCCATATATTGTCTATGTTGATTGCTCCAAAAGTAATGCCTCCTACAACACGTACAAGGAGCTCAGTAACACTATTGGATAGAGCAAATTCTCAGCTACGAAAGTATTTTTCAATATAGTCACCATCAATGAACAAGAACCTGCATGCTGCACTTTGGTCAGTGGAGGTGACCCACGTTTGCTGTCTCCACTGCTGAAACGCATCATGCTCTGCCTCACTGTACTCCCATTCGCTGTTTGGACTCCAGAAACATGCAGGAAGTGTTATTGAATGTCAGCAGGTGCCAATTTTCCCCGTTGCAGGGTGAAATTAAATCCCAAACCTTTGATTCAGATGCCATTGTGCCAGACTACCCTATGCTGCCATCTGTCACATGGCAACAGTGTGTAATGGAATGTTGGCGGGGAGCTTCAACCTCTACTGCCGTAGCACCAGCATCCACCCCTGTTGTCGAGGCCGACATACTAAAGTAGGAGGCATTGCTTTCAGAGCAGCTCTTGTAACTAAGGAGAAGCACCGTTTCATATAAAAATTTCAGTGCACTTACTTTGATATTAATAAATAACTGTTGCTACTGTATCTTATAATTTCAGTCACTTTTGCCATGTGCAATTTCAGCCAAGCTTTTTTGATCAAAGGCGTTGGTTTATTCTAATGAATACTTGAAACTTAAATATGTATCTGGGTTGATGATTTGTCACAGTAGCAGCAAGCACTGTTGGAAAAGAACAACAGTATTAGCTTTGATAGAAATGGTGATGGACTTTTAACTACGAATGTGCTGCCAAGCTGTGTGGCAATGATTACTCCGTATAATTTCTTTTTTATTTACTTATTTTCAGATAGCTTAGTTTAATGTGCTTGTTGTCGAGCTTTGCCATTTGTTGGAGGTTTAAGGTAGCTTAGTAGCTGGTGACCTACTTGTCTGTTTTAAAAGTAAAAATAGTTCTTTTCTTGACAGTCTGTGTAAACAAATGTATAGTATGTGATTATGAACTTTTCAAAATAGCATATATGTTTGTACATATACACATACACTTAAAGTTCATAATATATGAGGTTTGGTATGAATTTGCGGTCAGTGTTGGGTGACCCCATGGTGTAAATGGTATTTTAATAAACAGATGGGAGACTTAACGGGTAGTAAAATATGAACTAAATGAAGAGCTTTTATATTGACCAGTATGCTTGTTTTCAGATACCCATATAATTTGCTTGTTAAAAGTGGAAATTTGGACTAGCAATCTTCAGTACTTTTTTTTTCTACAAAAGAATGCAAGGATATAATTTAACTTTTTATTTTCTAGTTTTAAACTAGATTATATTAAAAATAAAAAGTTTAATTTCCTTGAGGGCTATTGAATACACTACTGTAATTATTAATGTACTTACAAGGGATCTAGATGTATTTAAATACGCTTTGGGGATGTTATTCTTGTAGATGCAATTTGTTATTGAAAAGTACAGTGTAGATGGTTCACCGTTTCTTCCATTGAGCTGGAGAGCATGAATTAGGCATTGGCTTCATGTGAAGAATCTCTTGTAATACAGCTGTGAGAAGGTAATCCCACCTGATATTGTGTATATGAAAACACACTCCTGCAAATACCAGTGTATACTTTTAATGAAATAAATCTTTAACACATTCAATCCTGTAATTTCTTTCATTTGAATTCCATTTTTTAAATTGTTTTCACAGTTTTGCTGGTTCATTTCAGCACTTCTATTGCAAGTTGTAGACTTAACTGAGGCCTATTGTGTCACTTTTAGATGCAGTTTTGACTTTTGTTGTTCTTTATGTGCATTCATGATTTACAGTCTCTCCTTGATGACAGTTTGCCTAATGGGGCAATGGTGGTGACTTATTCAGTGCTTACACATTAGCCTAGTTTTGAGAACCTTGAAGCATCCTTGTTAGAATGAAGATTATGCTGAAATCTGCTATAAGTTTACATCTATTTGGAGTACTGTTGCTCAACTCAATTTCACTAAATGACACAAATGAAAGAAGTACCAGGTGTTTGATACTGAGAAGGAATACAGATTGGTTGCTTTCTATATTCTTTACCTTCTCTTAACAAATAGGGAGCAATAATGAATGAATGGTATGATTATTTTGTGTTACTTTTTCTTAAAGAGACATTTGCAATGCTTAAAGTCTGTCCCAAGTTTCAACCATTGAATTACTCTAGAGAGCACTTTTAATTGTGCTTTTGTTCAGCGTCAAGTTGGCCATATTATGTGAAGGACTTTTCCATAGACTAGTATACATTTATCAACTTTTCAATCTTTTGCTTCATCTTGTGTTTTTTATAGCTTTTTAAATGATTGTATTCTTATTTCTGTCTATCACTGTCTGTCATTTTGTCAGTTGGTGAGTTAAGCCAGAGCTCTATGCAGAAAAGGCTGCACCACTGATGTTCATCAATACTTAGTAAACATTTCTGGAAACCAAATACTGTATGTGAGCACAGGGAGGTGCTGCTGCAGATTGTTACAAGCACAGCATGCAGGCTCTTGTTCATCACTGGTGAAAATGCACAGCTAGTGGTGGTGACCGTTGAAAAACAGTGTTTTGTTGCTGAGAGTTTGCTCTATCAACTAGTATTATTGTGCTCTCTGTATCGGTTGTAGTTTCCACGGAAGTAAATAGGAGGCATTACTTTTGGAGTGCCTATGTATTATAGGAATGCTGCTTTCTGGTTTGTTGCTCACAATTAATTTCTGAATTGTTCATCTTGGTCCATATTGTTTACAATTGAAAATGTGTTTTGCTGAATTTCCAAGATAAAATTTTTTCCCAAGAACATCTAACAGTAAATAGGATGAAAAAATCGGGTGCTGTGCAGAGAAGTTAAGCTTAAAATAGAATAAATTTGAAGTAGTTCTTTTTCACTGGAAAATATGCACACCACGCATGCACATTGCTGTCTCTTGTGTTTGCCATGCTGTTTATTGACTGTGATAGCAAACCATTTATGTAGCAATTATCTCAATAATAAGTGGTTAAATGTTAAAAGCTTTCTGACAGCTTGATGTATGACTGGCATTAGCCCTATGCTCATTTGTTTTGAAGAAGCTTACCTCTGATTGCCTCATTGCATGAAGCAGAGCATCAGGACTGTGGAAGTCTGTAGCCTGTCCAGTTGCTTCCTCCAGTTGCTGGCATCAGTGCCTGCTACTGAGAGATGCTGTATTTTCAGAGGCTTTATGTATTCTGCTTGCAGTGTTTGCTGAGTAGGAACTGTAGCTAAAAATAATCAAAATGACTTTCTGTGTTCCTCTTTCTTTCTGTCTTGCTGCAGGATGACGTAGCTTTGCCAAGGATTTATCAGCTAAGCAGAAAATGAGCTTAACATCCTGGTTTTTGGTGAGCAGTGGAGGCACCCGCCATCGGCTGCCACGGGAAATGATTTTTGTTGGAAGAGATGACTGTGAGCTGATGTTACAGGTAATTGCATCAGCCTTCCATGTGCAGCTGCTTAAATCTTGAATGAGTTTAATGCTGTGCATGAAAATGAGATTTGCCAGATGTTGGGTGGGGTGATAGTTTTGATTTATCTGTTGTGTTCATACAGAAAGTTAGAGTATATTGCCATCAATCATACACTTACTGTCGAAGTGTTGAGGATCACATTTTCTTTATAGAAATTTCATACTGAATGCAAGAATAGAAGGCTGGAGAAATTTTGCAATATGATGAGTAAAAAATCAGCTGCACCCTTAATACGTGATAACGTTACATGCACCGGATGCTTTTGAAAAGAGCTTTCTTTTTTCTTGTAATCTAATTTAGTCACATGATTTGATGTAACTCTGTCTCCGTGTCCTGATCTCCTTGTACAAAGGCAATGAAATCAGTAGAAAAGCTATTTCCTGTATCTCTAAGGAATTTGAATGACTCAATCTCAGTAATGATTCCGGTTCAACTGTAAAAATACGAGTCTGTCAGTTGAATACTTCAGTAGCTTCCTCAACTTGTGAGTCACTTTGGGGAACTCTTAGAGATGTGTAACTGTATTGCTGTGCAGCCATACGGCAGGCACTCTGCTTTATCAGAGCTGTAGTCCTCTGAGCTGCTTTCCAGTGTATGTAGTTTTTAATGGTGAATGCTGTTATTTTGGGGAACCCTTGTCTTTGATTAATGTAGAACTCTTATGATGATTAAACTTTCATATTCTCAGTGATTTCTACGATTCAGTAACATATTTACTTTTGAATTCTTAGTTGTCAGGAATTGTATATGTAGCCATTAATAGCCAAATTGGAATCCTGTTTGCAAGTGAAGTGTCTAGAAACCTATTTTTTATTTGTATTACTGAGAGTGTAATTTCAGTACAAAGTCATGTCAACCTCAAAACATATCCAAAGGGTTTGTTGGTGGTAGAAATGCTTTGTCTCTTATAAAGTTGAAAATACTCTCAATTTATCTTACAAACAAAATAAGAACAGGCAGTATGAGGTCTTGGGGATTTGTGCATGAAGTATTTGTTTTCAGAAGGAAAAAAAAATAAAGGAAAAAAAGCAAAAATAAGGTGGCAAAAAGAAATAAAAATAAAAATTGCAATTGGTTCCTATACAGGATGTTATAATTAAAAAAATATTCTGGCATAGATCATGAAACTGAGAGCAAAGTTGGCTTTTTTGAGATGGGGAGTGAGATGGTGTTTTTACACGTTATATAGGCTTTTTTTTTTTGTTGCTCACAAGTTGGAAAAATGTAAAAGTTTTAACAGTTTAAAGGTAGTAATATGCTTCAAATAATTTATGTTAGTAAGGCAATTACGGAAGCTGATTCTCACCTCCCCTTCCCAACAGTACATGTTATTTCCTGTTTAATCTATACAGTTTTTCTTGCCAGGTAAAATAACAGAGTTGCAATGAGAGAAGAATGTGACTGATTAGCTACAAACTTTGTATTAAAATACATGTGTGTGTTTTCAGTTAGTGCTAATTAAGTAAAATCATAATTATTACAATAATTTTATGTTGATTGCAACTGGTAGTGTTAGTTTTATTATTTTGAATGTAAAATTTTTGATCAGTCTGATGTTAGAGATGCAGATTTCATTCCTAGGTGCTAGATGAAGTGGAATGAATTTCTTAAAGACAGAGATTTCTCAGCACTTTGTCTTTTTATTAAGTGCTTTTTCTTTAATTATCATTCCTAATACTACCATCTCTACTTCTGTGCCCTCTTTTATCATACCTTTTAGCCTTTTAATATTCACCTGGATTGGCTGACTGCAAGTCTCAGCAGTAGTAGGGCAGCTCAATCTCTCACTCAAAAAAGTGATTTGGAGATATGCTTTATATAATATGTACTGCAGCAAATCATTTTATCCGAGTTCAAAAGACTAAAAATTCTGTTGGTAGAATGATGGAATGATTTGAGTTGGAAGGAACCATGCAGATCATCTAGTTCTAGTCCCCCTGCTAAAAGGCAGGGACACCTCCCCTTAAACCAGGTTGCTCAAAGCCCCATCCTGTCTGGCCTTGGTTGCTTCCATGGAGGGGGCATTCACAATCTCTCTGGGCAACCTGGTCCAGTGTCTCTCACTTAAACAAACCTTACTTAACCCTCAGTTAAGTAAGCTTGAGTTCCTTGCTATCCATTTTCCTTAAATCTCTCCATAACTGGAGATTGTGTAATATATTTTCCTCATGCCACATATGTATATATATATAATATATATATATATATATAAATATCATATATATACACAGACACACACACACACACACATATATATATATATATGTATGTGGTGTATTGTGGTTTTGCAGTTTTCTCATTAGTAAATAACGTACTTCAATGGTCCCTATCTGTAACTGAGCAGTCTTTAGAGTGAAGCTTATTGCTTGAGCATTTAATATTTTGTTACAAAACTTCAGTCATCAACACTTCCAAAAGCAGCTGCCTGCTGGGTGGATATTGTGAACAGAGTCCAGTCATTCATGGATGTTATTGTCTGTTGACTTTAGAGGTAGTTAAAAAGAATCAAGAGGCCCTGTGATTTCAAGAATATTCTGTGTAGCCTGCTGTTAGGTCTACATGCCAGCATGAATGTGATACCACATTGCTGAAGGGGGAGGAACCCACCAAAGGAGAAGCTCATAATGTGTTCTTGTTCTGTATGTATAGCTCTTTGTGCAGGACCTTCCATTCCACTTCTGACAACTTGGTTGTTCTCTTACTGCAAAGCATGTGGACAATGCATGATAAAGAAAGTGGCTTTTAATGCTTTTATTCATACTCTTGTCAGAAAGCGTGTTACAGTAGCCTTATTAGAGAGCATTTTCACTCTGTCTTGTGTTTTATAGAATTAGACCTCAGGTCATGCCTACCCACTATTCGTGTAGTGGGGGTTTTATTCATGTCTGGGAATATAGATTTACTTCTCATAGTAAACTCCTATCTTCGTAATATATTTTGTAAATATTCTAAAACAAACTTGAAAGGTGGCCCCGTGTGAGCCTCGTGAGGTTCAACATAGCAAAGTACAAGGTTTTGCACTTGGGTCAGACTAATCCCAGGTACATGTACAGACTGGGAGAAGAACTCCTTGAGAGTAGTCCTGTGGAGAAGGACCTGGGCATCCTGGTGGATGAAAATCTGAACATGAGCCAACAGTGTGCTCTTGCAGCTCAGAAGGCCAATGGATCCTGGGCTCTATCAGAAGAGCAGAGGTGTGGCCAGCAGGGAAAGGGAGATGATTGTCCCTCTCTACTCTGCCGTTGTGAGTACTGCATCCAGGAAAGATGTGGAGCTGTTGGAGGGGATCCAGTGGGAAGCCATGAAGATGATCAGAGGGCTGGAGCACCTCCCCTGCTAAGACTGAGGGAGCTGGGCTTGTTCAGCCTGGAAGAGAGAGGGCTGCGAGGAGACTTCACTGAAGCCTTCGAGTATTTAAAAGGGGTTTATGTAAAGGAGGGGAATCAACTCTTTACAAGGATAGGCAGTGATAGGATAAGGGGGAATGGTTAAAAGCTCAAGGAGGGAAGGTTTAGATTGGAATCAGGGAAGTTCTTTGCAGAGAGAGTGGAGAGGTGCTGGAACAGGCTGCCCAGAGAGGCCGTGGATGCTCCATCCCTGGAGGTGTTCAAGGTTGGATGGGACCCTGAGCAGCTTGGTCTCATATTAGATCTGGAGGTGGGTAGCCCTGTCTGTAGCACTGGGATTGAAATTTGATGATCCTTGCGGCCCCTTCTAACCCAAGCCATTCTGTGATTCTGTGGTATGCAGTGACACGTAAAGGTAATATAATAATTGTTTAATAAAGTAATATATAGTTGAAAAAAATAATTATTAAAAGTTGAGTGAAAGCATTTCCTCAGAAGCTATGATTGCATGGCCTGATGCCTTGGTCTTGCTAATGCTTTTATGACCTGGGATCCTTAAAACTGGCAAACTGAGGTACAAGTACAGGAATGAGCCTAGAAGTCATTGTCAGTGCTATATAGGTCTGGGAATTTGGATCTTAGGGAGATGGTTTTCTCAGAGAAAATAGCAACAAGGTTTGTTCCTAATTTATTGTTCACATTTGGAAGCAAGTTTTATTTAAAAAAAAGAAAAAGAATTACTGAAATACTTATAGAAGGAAATGAAAAATTAAAGAAACAAATTAGAGACTGGGAATAGGAACTCAGGAACCACTTAGACATTTAGCAAAGAGGTTATAGATAATTTGTTCATAAAGTTAAGATCAAGTAGGAAAAAAATGAACGTTTGTATACTGTGGTAAGAATCCCAGACAACATAATGAAGGGTTTAGAAATGCATGACAGGAAACTGCACATTTTAGAGAGAACAGCTATACCAGAGAACTATAATCATGTTTTGATATAAGCATGCAGTTAAAGGGAGAAAGAGCAAGAGAGAAGTAAAGGTGAAATTGATGATGCAAGATTAAACATCAATAATAGCATGGGGAAAAGAGAAAGAAATTTTTTTGATAAGATATGGCTGGATGTAACTTAGAGTCACATTTGAGGAAACATTAAAAAAAATTATTATGAATTTTATGATTCTGCTATGAATACACAGATCTCAATGTGGTTAGAGATCAAGTTAGTGGGGGATTAATTATTTTATGTATAATTAGAAAGAATGCATGAAAATGTTATTTCTTAGTTAGTTATTTCTTAGAGTAATCCAATTTTGTTCTCTTTTGATCTGTTTTTGAAATACTTTTTTATTCTTGTTATTTTAGTCACGAAGTGTGGACAAGCAACACGCTGTACTTAACTATGAACCTTCTACAGATGAACACTTAGTGAAGGATTTAGGTAGCTTGAACGGGGTAAGTTAACATTGGAAACTTTTCTTTTGAACAAATAGACAGTGAATTAACAAGCTTTAATTAATATTTTCTTCATGCAAGTTTTAAAAAGAGGGAAATGTCTGGAAAAAAAAAAAGTGGTTTTGTGGAGCATCAATTACAGGACTGAAATAAAGTCCTTTAGTGAAGAAGGCTTGGCAATAGAAAAAAAATATCTCAGAAGAGTACAAAGATATATTTAACTCTTCTGTATTTCAGAAACATAGAAACAAACACTCTTAAATTGATTATATACTTAATTTTTTAAAGACATTTTAATCTCTATAATTTTTCTGTAAGAAATGGATTTCTATTTCACAGTATTCCTTACTATCCTTTTATCATACAGATAAGAATGTTACTGTACTCTGTATGTGAAAACAGATTTTAAGTATACAATAGCTGTGTTGCATGTAAGCATACTTGTATTTTATATTGGCATATTCTTTCTCAATATCCTTGTGTCACTTTTTGAAGCTCTTTCAGTATTTCTTGGAGCTGTTTAGAGATGGTGGTTATGGTGGGTATTTTCTCTGTCTATGTCATGAATGTGTGTTGAGTACACAGTATTGTGAGTTCATCTCTTTATCAGGAACTTACTAAATATTGATTTCAGTCAATATTACCAAATGTTTAAAAAGATGTGAGGAAGAAATGTCTCCTAATACTGATTTCCAACTTGGCATTTGGTCTTGAAGTGCTTTTCAAAATAAATTCTCAGTCTGCCTTTATTATTTTTTTGTATTTTAAGATACAGACCTTTAGATATCTTCAGGTGCCTCAGCCTTCCAAAGAGTCAGAGCCTCAACTCCATCTGAAAGCAGTGTGACTTCTGAAGTGTTTGGATTTCCTTTGAATAGTTACATGCAGATGAGAACTTTGCTCCTTAAATATTTAATATACTTCTGTATTTTGAAAGTCAGTGCACTGTTTCAGGGAAGTGATCAAAATGAATTCAGCTCATAGTAATTTCTTGTCGTCACTTGATTTTATTCCCTAACTTTGTTACTCTTGTAATCAATAGGTATACTTCATTTTCATCATCTTCTCACAAAATTTGAGTTTAATTAAAAAAAAAAAAAAGTGTTTTCACCTCTCTTCACTTCTGGTAAAGAACTTTCAGTTATTTGATTCCCTTGATCTGATTCATTCTCATGTTGGAGCTGCCTGTTCCTATGTGGCTGTTTATCCAGAGACATCACAGAAACTCCTTCTTCCCATAGTTCTGGGAATATTAAATCTTAAAAATATAGTCCTTGCTCATTGTCTTCACAGTGCTTCCCTTACTATCTGTTTCTAGTTGTGCTTTGTCTTACATACCTCTGCTTGTTTGGTTTCAGATACAAAATGGTGTATTTCCTCTATACAGCAGAATACTTCAGCAAAGTGGTGTGGCAGAACAATATAGACAATGCCTCTGTATGCTACAATGAACTAATAACTAGGCAATAGGTCTTTTCATCCTGCTATACCATTTGCTCTGAACATTAGATAGCGATATGTGGCTTTGAATGATGTTCAAAATGACAAAGCATAAACTGGGGAGGAGAGTGTGTAGAGATGGAAGTTTAATACAAGATCCCAAATTTCTAGCTCATACTTTCAGACCACTGATCTTTTGTTTTTGATTTTAACTTAACATTTTGGTGGTTAGGTTTCTGTAACTGTACCTCATTGCATAATTCAGCCAACTTGTGTGTGCAAAGGCTGTTTTGAAGCCACCTTTGGAAAATAGTATCTGTTGTTGGGATCAGGGAGAGAGCTACTAAATCCAGTGGTATCTGTGATAAATTACTGAGAAAGCTTCCTTTTGCTGTTGCATTGAATTTTGACTTGTTTTGTCAGATTTAAGTGATGACAGTCTGTAGAAAATGAGAGCTGAATTCTATGAAGAGTTCTTCATCTATATATAGGCCATTTTTTTACTGTAACACAAATAAGACATTCCAAAATCTGACTTTTTTTTTTTTGCTAACTTTAATATTATTGTCTTTTTTTTTTTCTGAGAAATCCTTAGTAGAATGACATTCTGCTTTTCAGGATGTTCTATTTTTTTTTTCTCCTCCTTTTTAATCATTCCAGGGTATATACATCCATTACTCTGCTCCCTTGCTTCATCTCCCCATCTTAACTTTTGTAAGGGATATATGTTCTTTAATCTTTGAAGAAATTTAAAATCAACTTTATGAGTATCTGTTTTTCTCCACTGTCACTGAATCTGCACCATTGTGTTGCTCCTAAGTTTGACAGATAACTTTTTTTTAGCATTGCAGCTAATGCTTTCAGCTGCCACCTTTACTTGCTTAAGAGTGCTCATTTCCTCACTACGCTGAGTGAAACAGCTGAAGTTCTCTCTGGCATTTGAGGATCCAGGTTCTTCAGACACTTTTTATTTTACCCAGTCATTGTTCAGGAGTGGCAGCTTATTTTTGTGCTTCTAGTGAAGAACATAACAGATTGAGAGCCTATTCTGTGGTCAAATGTGCCAGCCTTGAACCTCTGTCTTACTCTTCAGCATCCTTGTGGAAGTTCCAGTTTTATGTTTCTAGACCAGTACTGAAATTCAGGGTGTGCTGAGGATATTCTTTGCATGTCTGGGCTCTCATAATGTTTAATTAGAATAAATATGCATTAAATACTACTTTTAAGTTTTAGGCTTGCTAAACAGTAATTCTTAATTAATTCTTATTTCTTAGAGAGGTTACCTACATTGTAGAATATAGTCAGTTTTATGACCAAGGTGAGCATTAGTAGAAGAAAAGAAAAGAAAAAGAAAAAGAAAAATTGCTATTTATTTAGAAAATTAAAATAAAACAGAAGAGCCCTGTATTATTTGGAGGAAGTAATCCTCTCTGTATTTAGAGACTTGATCTCATGCTGGATATCTCATACTGGATTTATTTAAATGAACAAAACAAGTGTTTAAAGATTCGGATACTTGACTTACTTATTAAATATTTATTTGTTGTGTGCACTCCTAACTTCAAAGTTTTGCTTCAGAAGTGGCAGACTTCAGCTGCTCCAGTTCTTAAAAATACGTAGATTTTGTTTAAATTTTTTCAAGTTTGAATTTGCAGTACCTGCAGCCTTCTGCAGGGTGCTGGTATTTTGAACACCTGAAAATGGCACAAAACAAAGTAAATACCTTTAATCTGGGTGCTCCATGTTCCATCTCCCATCTTCAGAATTCATGCTTAGTCATTCTAAAAAATAAAAATGAGCAGGAAGCTGTAAAATTGATTTTTGTGTGAGGTACAGAAAATAATACAACTGCTAAATAATTCATAAAATATTGCAACAGACTCATCTGAGCTAAGCCATAAATATTTTATTTGCCTTGAATTTGCCCCAAATTAAGACTTTTTAAGGATTTGGAAAGAGGGTGAGGGAAGTAAATCTAAGGAATGAGGGACTGGTCATGAGTAAGTGATCAGTCGTATTTCTTACAAGGAAGGTGCTATGTTGCTATAAGGCCAGATGTTACATCCTTTTTGGGTAAAAGGAGAAGGATGATTTCAAGAAGGCCAGAAGGGAACAAAAGAAGAATAACTGACTGTAAATTTTAGTTCCTCAGTACTGATTTGAATTCAGTGTTGAAAAACAGTTTAAGGGAAGATGCTGTGCAGAAGGTTTTTGTCAGCTCATATGTTGGACAGATTCTTCAAGGGTCTGAGTGCAGAGTTAATGTCTTTTTTAATTGTAGCCCAATTGCTAGTTTGGTTGGTCGGTTGATTTTTTTTTTTTTTTTTTTTCCCCTGGTGGAAAGATTTTTGTTTCTTTTTCTGTTTCTTTTTTTCTTTTTTTTTTTTTTTTTTTCTTTTTTCCCTGTTGTTACAAGAGCCATTGCCAATTTCAGAATGTTGTGGAGATAACTCAGAATCATAGAATGGCCTGGGTTAAAAAGGACCACAGTGATCATCTACTTTCAATCCCCCTGCCGTGGGCAGGGTCACCAACCACTAGACCAAACATCCGGCCTGGCCTTGAATGCCTCCAGGGATAATATAACTTTGACTAGTAACTTTCTAGAATTTTCTGTAGAGCTTGAGCAATGTAATTTCAAGCTGTGTTTATATTCCCTTTCTTTCTTCCCCCACAGAGATGAAATTGTTTCCCTAATCTTCCAGTTTCCCTTTCTGAGATTCGTTTTGACTTAAATGTGTGTTATTCCTCCTCCTTGCTGCTTCTTACTCCTCCTTGTTGTGTCTCAGGTGTTCTCTTGAAGTTATACCAGGATATTTTTGTGAGTTTCTTGTTTTCAGCCACTAGGATTTCAGGTCCGAATTAATCTGTACTGCCTCTAACAGCCCTCTGCTATGGCTGGTGAAACTGGGCAGTCTTTCAGGTACATCAATTCTTCTTCAAATTGATGAAAGCTTGTCTGATTTCTCCAATTGTTTCCAACAGTGATTTGAAGGAGGGAGGATTAGTTATGGTACAATAAGTGAACTTTCAAAAGGTGTTGTCAAGACTATGGACTTCACCCTACTTTGCTGCTTGCTGGTGTAACGGTGTTATTTTTGCTTACAAATATTGTTATGCTGTTGTTCAGGTGTCACAGTACATGAGTTCTCTACCACTGTTTTTTAGTACATGAGTTCTCTACCACTGCTTTTTGGAGATAATTTGGATGTAATGACTTGGTCCATATTTGTTTTCCTTAAAGTCTTTTTACAACGTAGGTAACTTCCAAACTACCTCAGAACTTGCATATCCGACATGAAATACTGAAAGAAAAGTGTTGCACAAAGGTGATGATAAATCAGTTCTGTTGTCTAATTGAGATTGAAAAAGCAAGCTACAAGAAAAATAATGATGATTAGTGCTAATTTGAGGGAATGTTCCCCAGTGAATCAACAGTGGAAAACTTGCAGTGCTGTAAACTTCTTTCTTTTAAAATTAGTTTAATGATTGATTGTTGGATAGCTTGTTTTGTTTTGTTAGGTTGTTGGCTTTTTTTCAGTTGAAGAGTATCTCTTTCTGTCTTCATTTATTTCTGCAGACATTTGTAAACGATGTGAGGATTCCAGAACAGACATACATCACTCTGAAATTAGAAGATAAACTGAGATTTGGATATGATATCCTTGTCATAAGAGAATGCATGGTGTCCTGATGCACACTTCTCATGAGGAAAATGTAATTGCATTAAATTAAGGGTACTCATTGTATTTGAGAGCTTTAAGCATCTCTCTTTACAACAAAAATGCCCATATCAGAGAAAATTGCTGAATACTGTACCATGATCAGAAATATTGATCAAGTACATCTCATTGTTTCTCACTAAAAGAGACCTTGACTTCCAATTACTGTTTCAAACCTTTACTTCAAACCCTCTTGTTATACCACTTTTGTGTGTCACTTTTGTGTTGCAGAAAAACAATACTTTGAGGAAAATACTCAAAGTATTGCACTGTATGAGGGAAGAAGAAAAAAGTGTAGTGTTACAACATGAAATTTATGTATTCAATGATCTATTTGTAAGTAATAAGTAATTGTGTTGTGCATTTTCTTTTACAAGCGCTACTGTACATTGTAGTCCTAACAGTGATAAATGTGTAGAACAGTTCTTATTGTTGGAATGGCAGAACACGCTGCAGAACTGTTGCCTTTGTAGAAAATCCTCTTGTGAGCAGTGTGTTTTCCTTAGCATTTCCCACATACTAATCTTTTTACTGTTGTCAGAGGAGAGATGAGAGTCCCTGAAGAAGCTCTTAAGGTAACAATGGCCTGTGCCTCAGTGGTGCTCTGTCATTACGGGTTATTGGTAAAAGATTTTTTTTCATTCTTTGAAATTTATTAATTTACTTAATGTCATGTAGCATGAAAAATTTACAAGCCAACTCCAGTTATCCCAGAAATCTTCAGAGGCAGAAGGGTCAAAGCAAACCATCTCCAAAAGCTCAGAGTCCAAAGAGACAGAGTCCACAGCTGAAGTGCACCACAAGACTACTGAAGCACTGAAATCTGAAGAGAAATCCATAGGTAAGGTGCATTTTTGCTGCAGAAGCATGCAAGCTTGAAAGAGACATTTGTTTGCTTCACCAGGGTCTGTGAAATTACACACACGGGTGTTTTGTTTTGTTTTTAAGTCGTGTTAAATTTTAGATATATTATAAGCATAGAATTTTAGAGTCCTTAAGGTTGGAAAAGACCTCTAAGATCACCTAGTCCAACTGCCAACACATCCCCATTATGCCCACTAATCATGTTCCTCACTGCCACTTCTTCATATGTCTTGAATACTTCCCTGGGCAACCTGTTCCAATGCATTTTCACCCTTTTGGAGAAGAAGTTAGAGTGAATGAGAGTAATTAATAACTTTCAGAATAGAATTTCTACCTTTATCATAGATCTACATGTTAAGAAAACACCTAAAACAGTTTTTTAAGTAGCATTCCTTGTTTTTTACATTTCTCTTCCTGACAATTAGAAAGCATTTTTGGCAATAAAGTGAAGGGTTTTTTTTGCAGTTGAGCTGAAGCAGTTTGTATTATTTTTCCACCACCATTCTGAATAATTCTCCTTTTGTGTTTTTTTTTTCTATTTTTTATTTCTTTGTTTTATAGATCATAGCATTCATCATTAGATGTGTCAGGGTAGAACCTAACTGCTCTATTGTGGTATAAAAATGGTAGAGGATGTAGTATGAGATCTTGTTTTTACATCATCTTTTGTATTTATATAGTGTGTCATGGTGGCTTTGCCCAGGCTGTCTTTAAATTCATTGTGTGGCTTGTGTTCATTTAGTAATTTTCTCATTATAATTCCTTGCTGTGTTACCTGTTATCACAGGTAATCACACGAATGAGAAAGGTATTGGAGGGTGCTGTGCATTACATCTGAATCTGATTGGGTCCAATTCCTTAGTTCATGGCTGTTACTGTGCTGGTTAGGTGTAATCCATTCTGGAAAGCCTGCTTTATATAATTCTCTGCACAACCTGTAGGACTCAGTGGTATAACTAATTTTATCTCATCTAGCAACCTATTATGGGTACATAAAGCCTAACCAATACTTCAGTATTCTGATTTAATATTGTTTTTCAGCCTCTTAAATTTTCGTTACGTAGCGCAGTGGATTTTTTTTTTTTCTCCTCAACTTCCCTTTTCTCTTGACTTTTTCAAAAATAACAGTAAAAGTTAATGATTATATTTGACTACAACTGATAAGCTTTTAGGGTATTTATTCTCTCACTGTTGTTGTATGTTTGCAAAGCTGTTCCCATCAAGTTTTTGAGAACAATTCAGTAGAAGTGTAAGGCTGTTTTGAAACAAATAAATAAAATTTTATCTTCAAATCATGCTGAATTTGGCATGACTGTGAAATTTGTACCGAATGTAAGGAATTGCTTTGAATAAGCCCTGAAGAAAAATGCAAAATAAACATTCATGACAGGCAAAGTAATAGGTAACTACCAAGCTACATTTAAGCAGGTCACACACTTTAATATAAAAAACTGTTTAAAGTAACCTCAGGACATCCATATGATACTAAAATCTCAGTATGGTGAATAAACTCTCAGGAGGGAAGGTCGGATCAAAATTAGTCCAATAAGTTATTGTGAAAACAGAAATTTTAATTAAATCAATACCTTTTTTTTTTTTTTTTTTTTTCTTTTAAATTTGACCTCTGGATTTAAATGTGTTTAATCTTGTGTATGCATCCTGTATAATGTTCTTCCTTTATTGGACAGCAGTTTAACTACGGTTTGTTTTAAAAATAATTTTGCTCACTAGTCTTTTACACTTGATAACTTTCAGCACTCTTACGTCTGTCAGCAATTTGGAACCTTGGCAACACTGGGAAATTTTGGTCAGTTTTTCATGCACTGAGTTCAGATTTCAGCAAAAGGTCAATGTGGATAAAAGTGACAGTCTTCTCATAGGAATAGCAGTGAACAGCTTTTAGGAATGTACTGCTGTACTGACAACTTCAAGCTCAATGCAGAAAATAGTGTTTGCAGATATATCAGGGCAACAATAAGAGGTGTCAGCTGCCTTTGCAGAAGTGTTTGTGCCAAAAGTTTTGATCAGGTCATTAGTAAGCCTTTATATTTAGAACTCAGATCACTTATCCAGTCTCTAAATTGGTTTTGTATTTGGGCAAATGCGTGCAACCAATTCACTTCAGCTTCCAGGAGAAATGATCCCAATAAATCGCTCTTTTCTTGTTGCTTGAACCTAAGCAACTCAACTAAACACAAAAGCAATTTCCTCAGTTTTGCACTATTGTTATAGATCTTTCTACCATGCCTCGTGGTACACCTTTATATGGACAGCCAGCCTGGTGGGGTGAGGATGAAGCTGATGAAAAAGGTGGTTGTAAACCAGATAGCAAAGGTGAAGAAAAAATGCATGAGACGGCAGCTTCAGGTAAATCTCTTTTCTCTTTCTTTTCTAATTCTTTTGGGAGCTTTTGCTGCTCAGTAGAGTTTCATGTATTGTGAACTAGACATCTAAATAATGTTATTTTTGGAGGTTTGACAGATAGTTTGCACAGATGAAAGCTTAATAAAATTTACCTTAAAAATTATTCTGCAAGAACCTAGGAATTTCCAGAGAAGTGTTTCAGACGTGTGTCAGTTCTCTAGTATTCAGTACAATTTTTGTCAGTAAATTTAGAAAATATTACCTGAAGTAATGTCTTTTATTTATCAGTTTAGTTAATCTGTCATTTCTCATGCTGAAAATTAGAGATTGCAGTGGGATGTCTTAAGGAAATCGCTTCTGAAAATGTGCTATTTTGTTTTTGTGTTTGAGTCTTGGCTATATAAGGTGGTTTGTGCTTTCTGTCCTGTAATGTAGTAATCTGCATTAGCAGGGATTGCGTCCTGTATTTCATGCAGTAAACATTTGCACAGTCTGAAGTTAAGCTGATAAAGTTTTATTTCCCCATAGTACCGATTTTTTTTTTTTTTTTTGATAGTCTGGCTGTCTGCTTGCAGCACGTGTTGCCAAAACACAGATCTCAATGTCTATAATTAGACCCCTAAATCTATCATCAGGCTTATAAATAGAATAACTTTTTTCTAAAAAAGAGGAATTGAAATGAACTCTAAACATGATGAAATCAAACAAAATTAACATCACTTTAGTAAAATCAATTTCTCTATTGTTTTTTTCACCATAGCTTTTAGTAAACTGTTTCTTATTAGTCTACAGTTCTCAAGATGCAGATAGTAAGCTGTCTGTAAGTAAGCTTAAGATTAGGACTGATAGAGACGAAACTAGGTGAAATAATTTGTTGTGGTGATGGTTTTCTTGAAACAACTTTGTTGCATGTGGAACACGTGCATCATAATGCAGTACTGCAAACTTTCTGTTTGTGTGTATGCTTGTAAAAAGGTTTTCTCTACCATGGATTGTGCAAGGTGTTATTGTGTACTCCAGTGACAGAGGCTTTTTAAGTACGCTGACTCTGAGAGGTGTAGTAGAAATCTTGGGTAGGAAGGTGTTCTTCAAACACTCCCAAGCATTCTTAGGGAATACAATTTTTTTCTTTTTCCACTGGCAATAATAATAATAATGAAATACTAAGACTGTTAGATGGAAAAAAAAAAAAAAAAAAAGAGGGGCAGCGTGTTTGACAGCAGTTAATAAGAATAAGAATCAAGTCCTTGCCTTGAAGTCTTGCCATTGATATACTGGCTATGAAACCTGTGCTCTCTGTCTACCAAAATGGGGGTGGCAAAGTCTATAGTATTTATGATTTTGTTTCTTTGACCATGTATTTAGCAAACTAATATAAAAAAAAACTATGATTAAATCACGAGGCTTCTTGTACTTGCATTTATCTACCAACATTTTAATACAAAATCATGCATGTTATTTACCCCTCTTAAATATGGGCTTATTAGAAAAATAGTATCCTGAAGTCTGTGGTTTTGGTGCAGTACTGTTAACAAGCTATGACACAAGACTCCAGGTTCTACTTAGTAGCTATTTTTACTTTTTCCTTTTTTAAAGTTATTTTTTCATAGACATTATAGCATTAAATGTTTCACATTTTTAATACATTTATCAAGAGATTTTGCAAGGGGATTGCTGGTATTTACCTTCTCAGTCCCCAGACAATAGTTGAATCACTACAGGAGTGTATAAAAAGTACTCTGAACATTTTGACACAATTGTAGAGTTAAGCTTTTCAGGCCTCTTTGGTCTACTTACGTTCCACATAAATTCCATGCAACTTCCATCAAGTTAATTTCCAGCAAGCTAGTTTATATTTTCTTCATGCACAGAAGTCTTACAACATAGGTGAACGTAATCATTAGAAATTGATGTAAAGAAACACTGTAATGAAGGAAAGTAAGAAACTTCACAGACCTTCATGTTTAGATTTTTTTTTTTTTTTGAACTAAACATCAAATTTTAATTTACTAAAAACTTTTCAAAATGGATATGTTTATTCATTTTCTTTATGGGCTTAAAGCACAAGTTTGGTTCACACTTCATATTATAAACTGCCTACGAGAATTCACTGAAGATGAATTCACTTATGTGAATTTTGAAACTTTTTTCACTATCTCAAATCTGTGAAGCCTGATACCATTTTAACAAATTAATCCTATGAATAATCTGCTTCATGCTTTAATGATTTTTTACATGATTATTTCTTGAATAGAAAAGAAGGCATGAATTATAACAGATGGGGCAAGGTTTAATGAGGAGATTCAAATGGGAGATTTGTTTCTGCCAAGCCAACTACAGACAATTAGTCTCTACAGTCTCAAGTTAATAGGCTTATGTCGCCGTTACTGTCTTCCTACCTCAACGGAAGCTCACTAATGGAAGTTATTTGCAAACATCAGGAAAGCCTGGAAAATCTCAAGAAGTTAAAGCCTTTTTTTTTTCTTCTTTTTCTCACACACTTGTTAATCTTATTTAATTATCTATGACCCTGCTAGCCCCGCTTACAATCAATTGCTGCAAAGTTACCTACAGTACGACTATCTTATTTATGCTGCATCTGTTAGGGTTACATGCTAGCGCCAAGTTCCTGGGTAGGTAATTATTAATCTCTCCATTTGTTGTATTCTTAGTTCTTGGAAAAGTGAAAAATACACTTCTGCTGATCTCAGTAGTAGTTGTAGAATTTACAACAATGATGCCTTTACTAGAAACATAAGAAATTATAGAAGTCATGAATTTTAAATGGGCTTTAGGAAACAGAAGTCAATTACGGTTATAGAGCTGTGAAGATTACTATCTTAATTATTTGCTATCTTAATTATATAGTTGAGACTATCTTCTATATCTATATTTGGTTTTATATGTAATTTCTTTCAGCTTGGCTGATGACTTATGAGTTCACTATAAAATGGCTGTGCTTTTGTAATATAAATCTGTAGGTACTTGCAATCATATTTTCAGTGAAAAATTCTGAAGGATGATTTAGCTTAGGATTTCTGTTATTTTTTGTTTCATCCTTGCTTCCAATAGTATTATTGATTAGAATAAACAATGCTTAACTCTATAAAATGTAAGTACTTTGGTCAGAAAACAGTGCTTTTAAGTGATGAATATTAGCTTGTACTTGGAATATTTTTCATAAGATAAATTCTAAGATCCTTTCTAATTTGGAAATTGCTTTATGTTTGTAATCCAGTTTCTTAATTCTTTGGTTAGAGAGAAATATGTTGTCCAGTGTAGTATCTTTGTAAACAAGAATCTCATGAAATTCAGTGAGAAGTGCAAAATCCCGCACCTGGGGAGGAACAGAGGCAGGCACTGGTACATGCTGCAAACCACCCAGCTGGATGGCAGCTTGGTAGAAAAGGACCTGGGGATCCTGGTAGACAGTAAGTTGAATGTGAGCTAGCAACATGCCTTTGCTGGTAAAAAAAGATCGATGGTGTTCTTGGCTACAATAAAAAACATAGCAGCAGCAAGTAAAGAGAGATGATTCTTCCCCTCTTCTCAGCACAGATGAGCCCACACCTGCAGTACTGTGTCCACTTCTGGGGTCTCCCAGTGCAAGAGAAATGTGGAGCTCCTGGAGCAGGTCCAATGAAGGGCTAATCAAATAAGATGATCAAGAGATTGGAGCACCTCTCCTGTGCGGAGAGGCTGAGAGCTGAGACTGTTCAGCCTGGAGAAGAGAAGACTTAGGGAGATGTTATCAATATGTAGAAATATCTAATGTGAAGGTGCAGTGAGCACAGAGCTAGGCTCTTTTCAGTATTGCTCAGTACCCTGGGCAAGAAAGAGGGGAGGTAAGCTGAAACACAAGAAGTTTCCTCTAAACATCAGGAAGCGCTTCTTTGCCGTGCAGGTGACTGAGCACTACTGTTGGCTAACCAGACAGTTTTTAGAGTCTGCCTCCTTGTAGACTTCATATTGCTTTGTCTGCTTCATGCTTCCGTGTGGGGGGAGAAGGGGAAGGGCTGCCATTTCCCAGGATGTGGAGTAGTGAGGTGCTGTTGTAGGGCCTAAAAACTACCCTCCAGAGATGAGGTAACCCAGGGTGGATTAAGAACTGGCAGTGTAGGGACCTGTTTGGAAAGAACATGCATCAGTAAAATGAGATAGCAAAGGGTGTTCTCGGCTTGCAACAGCATGATATAAAAAATATCTTTTGTGTTTGCAGTGGCTACTTTTAGACAAAATGAATTAATCGTGTACCTTCACCAGAGGTACTTTTTCCTGTTGGTATCCAAGCATGGCAATGTATAAAGAATGAATAGAATTTACTATTTGTTATCCCTTAACAACATTCCCCCCGTTTTTATTTATTTTTTTCCAGCTATTATATTATTCCTTATTCATTCTATTTCTCTCTATCAAACTACTATCCTGTATTTCTTAGTTTTTAATATTTTCCTAAACCTTCATGAGAAGCATGTTGGTGAAGAACACAGATGTATTGTATTAAGCTGTCCTGCATATTTGACTCCTTAAACTCCCATTTGTAATATGCATGTTTCCAGTTCTACCTTATTGCATAATAATTTCATACATAAATGTTTATTATGCCAGCTAATATACTGTGACTGTTTTTACCTCCAGAAATCTATTAGTTGCATTCTCATTTATCTTCTTGGCAACCCAAAGTGATTTCTTAAACTTCTTGATTCATGATAAATCACGTAGGAGCTATTCAGTGTTCTTTGCTGGGATCTAACTAGCCATTACTGCTAACATCTCAAGCGTCTGTTGCTTGTTGCACATCTTTACACCTGATACTTTGGCTGGCTTACTGCTTAATGAACTGCAACCAGAAGATTTGTTTTCTTAAAAATACGTTTGTGGATTTTTTTAGCAACTACAAGAAGCTTTAACCTTCTTTCATGCTATACAGTGGAACTTCCCCATGCTTTTTCCATATTCTGCTTTCTTGACCCCGTTAGAGCATGGTTTCATAACATTCTGCATGCTTCCAGCTATTGTTGCTTTTCCTGTTCTACAAACTGGAAACAAATAAAATAAGAGCAGATGATGATAGAGTTTAGCTTGATTCTTGGATTTTACCTTTTGTAGAAACATAAAAGATGCTTGAATTCCAAAATGTTATTCAAGGCTTATTAGGGTTAAAATTTTCAAGTCAGTCTTAATGTTGATCTTGTGTTAGTGTGTGAATTGTTTTTCCAAAGATTTTTATCAAAATTATTCTAGCTCTGCACGAAATGAGATAAAGCCAGATCACTAGCACTTGTTTTAGGGAGACCTTGATCTGATGTTTCTTTAAATAGATCGAAATTGCAGTAGCTATAATCTCAACAATTTCTATCATGTTTTTTGCCTGTTTCCCCTGTTAGTAATAACTCGTGTGACTTTTACATCGTCCAAACATTTTTGGAATGCAGACCTCCTTTGTCAAATTTGAAGTGAGCTTTCTGCTGCTTTAAACTGCTTTACACTCCTTACAGCCAAAGCTTGTGCTGTATTTTCAGTAATGCTTTTCATATGTAATTCTGGAATTATTTTTCCAGAGCTGTGTTGCTCAATCTTCTCCGCAGTCTTACTGTTTAGTCCAAAGGCTACTCAAGTGGCCTTTACAGATATTCAGAAAATTCTTGAAGAACCTGTAGTTCCCAAGTATTGTGAAATCTATCTTTTATTTTTCTTAATAGGATGCAGCACAGATGCCAAGCAAGCTGAGGAGCAATCTGCAGCTGCAAGTGAAGAACTTTATCCTTTCTGTAGGGAGCCAAGTTATTTTGAAATTCCTACAAAAGAATTCCAGCAAACTTCACAGGTAGCAGAGAGCGCTATTCATGAAATTCCAACAAAAGACACCCAAAGTTCCCATGCAGCAAGCGCAGGACATGCTTCCTTTACCATTGAGTTTGATGACAACACACCAGGGAAAGTAACAATCAAAGATCACGTGACAAAATTCACGTCTGAGCAGCGCCACAAGTCAAAGAAGCCTTCTTCCTCCAGTGGTCAGGACCTGCCTGGGCTTCAGACTGTGATGATGGCCGCAGAGAGCAAGGTAGCAGATTGGCTAGCGCAGAACAATCCTCCTAGAATGATCTGGGAGCCACCAGAGGAGGATTCCAAAAGTATTAAGAGTGACGTTCCAGTCTACTTGAAGAGACTGAAAGGTAACGTGAATAATTCCAGCTTTGCTTATTTCTGAGGATAGCAATTCTTCACAAGCATCCAGTCAGTGCATCCCTGAGCCCTTGCAGAGTTCAATGGAAATTACAGATACTCTGAAGGAACACAAGAATTTGTGCTTGGGGAATCTTACTGCACCACTGAGTATTAAAAAGCTGATAGTAAACCAAATCATAAATCGTCTTATAGTAAGTATACTGGTTGGGGATATTCTTATACAGCTAAGTATGGTACAAAAGCAATCATCAGATATTTAAATCATGATTTTGAAGAGAACAAGAAAAAACCCAAGCCTTTAGTTGAAGTTCATGCATCTCACTTTCTCCTGTGAATTGCATTAAAAAGCTGGATTGCTTGATAGAAACAAAGCTCTGAAGTACAAATTATTCAAGTACTCTGAGTACTCTGAAAAAATCACTTGGTGACAAAAAATATATCATACACTTATTCTGATGATATTAATCACGTTTGATGAAGTCAGGCTTGAGTCTGGAGCCTGAAATTAACCAAGAATTTCCTTTTTTTTACTATGCTTTCAGAATTTTTATAGGAATGCTGCTTTTAGATGAAGTTCCAGTTGGCTTCACGTTCATTTACTTCAGACAATGACATTTCAAATAAAGTTAAATTAAACATTAAGTGAAAAGCATACTTTCTTTCAGATCCAACTTAGCAGAATAGAGTAGAAACAGTTTTTCATTTCCAGTCAAAGGGGTTCCACTGAAATTCAAACTTTTAGAATAAAAGTTCTGAGGAAATTTTTCAAGTTATTCTCTGTCATTTTCTGTTTTTACTTTCAGAAGGTTAACTCTGCTACTCAAACTTTATTAATTCTGTAGTACTATCGTTTTTAACTCTTAAAGTAGCTGGGATTTTGTACAGTGAGTTTTCTCTTATTGATCTAAAGGCTGTATATTAAGGCCAACTCTTCCAAAATACACTAAAAAATAACATTTTCAAAACAGAATTGCATGAGTGCGATACCATTAAAATAATGGCATGAAAGTTCTTCTAGAGGGTACCACAGAGCATTCATTGATCGTCATGACATTGTTGGAACAATTTTGTTTATGAGGCCTTAGCCTTTTCCTGGCAGCAGAATCTCCTGGATGTTTGATTTTTATTTTTATTTTTTATTTATTTTTTTGCTTAGGAAAGTGTAAGTTACAGGTTGCATTTGGCCCTAACACATATCTGAATTTTGGAATCTTTGGGGATCTGTTCATATTCTTACTCTTTACTTCTGCTTTGATCAAAAGGCTACAAAATGTATCTAGCTTTGAAAGTTTGATTTTAAAAAGAAGTGGAAAATTCTTTCTCATTTTTCTCCTCAACTTTTTCCTACAGTACCTTGTACTGAATTCACACTGCAAGAATTGCTATAAGACTTTCACTGTGATGTTGATATGTATTGTTACTATACTGATGTATTGTCCATTTTCTTAGTCACTGTACAAATAAGAGGTCTCTTGCCAAAGAAATGCAGTAAAGACTTCAGTTGTGTATTCAGTGCTGTTAACCTGCTACATAAGGTTTCCCCACGTACAGTTATCATTTAAAAGGACAGTAGCTGAGTGTTCTTATGATGCATGTGGGAAAACCTTCTAAAGCTATTCTTTTAAGAGGGGGGAAAAATAATCACTTGTACATTCTATGTATACATGAGTAAGTCTCAATCCAAAAGAATTTAAAGATAACAAAACTGTTTCTTTACAGGAATTGCAGTAAAACTTAAGGTGTAGGCTACTTCATTGTACATGAAATGAAGTTGCTGAAAGTCAAATGTGACGTAATGTGTATGAGTACAGTCTTCCATACATTTTTCAGGCATTATTGCTAAATAGATTTAAATATGTGTGTATATCCGATTTATGAAATGTGTTACTCACAGATCACAAAGTAGTTTGAGGAATGAATAATTAATAACAGCCATTTTGCATACATATGTCAGATGGTGTGAGGAATGAATGATAGAATAATTCACTGCTCTTCTTGGAAAGAGTAATAAAGAATTAATTCAAATTTTCTGTAGATTTTTCTCATGATAAACTGTTATTGTAATTGTCTAAGGAAAAGACAGTCTAACCACATAAATTGTGATTTGACAGATATTCTCACCTACCAGAATGATTACCTTAGGTTTTTCTTTTTCCTTTTAACTCTACCAAGAATGTTTCAATAATTCAATTGGCTGTGTAATAGAGTTAATTCAATTGGGAAACACGCTGTTTCCTTACTGCTTTACAGCTAGTAAAATGCTACCTTTTGTAAATCATTGATAAGTATTTGCAGATTAAAATACTGATGAAAAGGATAATTTGAATGTACTGATATTATTGTTCAGCCTATGTATAAGCAGCAGCTGTATAAGATTTGCAGCTGCAGAGAAGTGTTTGATTCTACACAGAAAGTCAATTTGCAGTTCTTCCTTTGTTTACCAGTTTCTTTTGTATATGTTGAGGGTTTGTTTGTTTGTTTGTTTGTATAGTTTCATACTACTATATCTTGTTTTGCTTTGGTTGTAGGGAATAAGCATGATGATGGTACACAAAGTGATTCAGAAAATGCCGGTGCCCACAGGCATTACAGTAAGCGAGCAGCACTTGAAGAACACTTGAGGCACCACCATGCAGAGTTGAAAAAGTCGCACCAGAAAGTTCATTCCACAGAAAAGCAGCAAGAGCAAGCTGGTGTGAATCAGACTGCTTTTATGATTGAGTTTTTTGATGAGGACCATCCTCGAAAGAGGCGTTCTTACTCTTTTTCTCAGAATGTAGGAGCTCTGTGCTCAGAATCCCCATCTCCAACACCTCACGTGCGAGCTGAAAGAGCAAAACCTACATCAGGAGAGAAAGCTGCCCCTTCGTGTGTGCAAGGTAGTTCATCACATCATAGAGCAGCACACAGTGTTCATGCAAAACTTTTAAAACAAAGATCAGAAGATCCCTCTGCTGCTTTACCTGTCTTTCAAGCTGCGTTGTTAAGGAGTTCAGGAAGCCTTGGCCATAGGCCTAGTCAGAACCAGGAGATGGACAAAAAGTTGAAAAGCCAACATATTTCTGCTGCTACTGAGAAGGACAATGAGGATGATCAGAGTGACAAAGGTACTTACACTATTGAGTTGGAAAATCCCAATTCTGAAGAAATGGAAGCCCGTAAAATGATTGACAAGGTGAGAAACCTGAAGTGTGTAGGGATGCTAAAGTGGTGCATGTTGTGTGGGCAGCAGTCTACCTGTTCAATTCTACTTACTTAAAGCTACTGCAGTATTGTAAGTTTACCAGCTATTGTATAATGTTTGCATACAGAATATCTTAAAAGCAGAAGCAGGCATTTGACTAAAAATTATTCCTATGTGATACTGTTGTTCTTTTAGTTTGCTAGTTTTAGTATGTTTTCAAAATGTTAAATATTGCCAAAATACTAAAGAACAATATTAAATGAGCTGGTATTTTTAAGAAGTATTTGATTACAATTGTCTCATGTGGAAATACTCAATTGTTCTTAAAATCTGTTGTCTCTGCAGTTTTTGGCAGATAGGCTTAGGAGCCTTGTGGTGAAGAAATAACTTTTGCTTATAGGGAAAAATAAACATAAAAATAGAAGTAACTTTATTTGAATTCAAATGGAAGATATGAATAGGAGAATCCACATTTAATCATTAGTCTTAACTGACTCACGAGCAGATTTTTTTTTTCCTTTTACTGTCATGTCTTCCTAAATAGCCCAATGTAATGGGATGCTGGCATCCAGTTTTGGCTTGTTTAACAGAAAATTCATTACTTATTATGGAGTTATTAAGAATTGTTTCTGTGTTTCTATAATTTTTTTTTTCAGGGCTGAACAAATGCATTACTGCTTTTAGTTTTGGCTAAAGTTTAAAAAGATTAGATTAATTCACTGAATAGAGACACATTCACTTACTTTCTGTTACAAAACTTCAATTGCTATTGCAAAACAAAAATTTGTAACTCCAGCTTCTAGTCAGTGAAGTTATACAACAGGATTTATTTGAAAAGTATAGGAAAAAGGAAAAAAAAACTTGGAAATTGATAATTTAAGTACAAGACAATATTGTAAATACTATCTGATGTTTAATGAGATTTCAAATAATTTTTGGTCTTTAGTATCTCTTTGTGATATATGTGGTCAGGTTTCTTTTTTTTGAAATATCTGCAGTTACAGATTCAGGGACAGGAGGTGAAGATAAACATTAAGGATGATAATGAAGCATTAGTTTATACTTGTAGTATTGTATAAAAAGCTTTTGGATATCATAAATACTTCTTAGTGCTAACCTAGAAAGCTACATCATTAGACATTAAAGATTTAGAATGAAGGAAAGCAGAGACGTTCCTTGAGGTGTCCTTTATCTTTTCACTTTTATTTAAGGCTCCGTTCACAGATACTGGATATTGGATGTAGGCCTTCCTGAACAATTCTGTGCTTGGTAGTATAAAAGTAGCACGATGCTATTTTTATGCAGTGCAGAAAAACAGCCACTGCAGAAAATCAAAATCAAAGGGAGATCAAAATTTATCTACAGTTTCGCTCAGCTTTGCTTCCCTTCCATTTTTAAATTGCAAATGCTGAGGATTCTTATACTTTCCTAATAAAAGGTGGATAAGTGTGGAATAAAACAAGGACTTATGCTAGTTTGTTGACTGCTGTGCTGCTCTCTTGACTATTTAAGTGAATAGTTGGTATGCATTTAATCAATAGTTCCAGCTGAACCTCTCTTTCTGAGTTGAGGCTTCAGTCTTTTCTGAGCAGCCTGGTAGATTGACAATCTGTTTTTCTTTTTTCTTAAACACTTTAAAACTTGGCATATAAAAAGAGAATGTGAGAAAGATAAAAAAAAGTAATCTTTCTACGTAGCATAATAGTAATAACATTAATAATAACATAAGTAAGCTTTCTACCTAACAAAGAAAAACTTTTTACTGAAATACTTTTCCCAAAGAGATGGGTAGAATCATTTATTTGCAATGATGACTGTCTTGGAGTGAATAGACTGCAGCTTGTCTAGAATAAATGGCTCAAGAAAATAAATATATTGAGGCATGGACCTTTTACGACTTGCAACACCATAGAAATTTGTGAAAATGAAGATTAGGCAAGATTTAAGATCTGCCAGGCAAGGTCACTGCAATGAAAGCAAAATGTATAAATGTGTTCAAAGCCTGAAATGTGTGGGAAAAGAGAAATTTGTTAAAGTTTTTGCATATTAACAACTTCTTTTTTCAAGAGATTTGATTTTAGGACACAAAAAAAAAAACAAAACAGAGCTTAAGGTGATGAGTAACTAGATTTCAGATTTAAACATTTATATGTAAATATAATATCTCTGTATAAACTGTATATGCCTATTTAACTCGTATATATCAATTAATTTCCATTTTTATATCAGCCATTGTAGGAACTGATGCAATTAGCTAATCTTCCAGGAATGCTATAATTATTTCTTCTGTGCTGTCATTTGAGCTTTCTCAGTGTGAATAAGCATCACTGATGTGTGGCCAGCTTTGAATGATTAGAAATAGTGTGTCAGTTCTCTCAAAACAAAAACCTTGAAGAGTAAGTTTAAAAAAATAGAGCAATGTTGAATTTTATACGGGTTAAGCTATGTTATTAAGAGGAAACACAGAAACAGTCATAAGATTTCAGTTTTTTCTATTTTAGAATATACTGATACAAAGAGCACAGTAACACTGTTTGATAGAACAAACTCTCAGCTACAGAACACTAGTTTTCAACATAATCACCTCCATTAGCTGTGCATTTTCACCAGTGATGAACAAGAGTCTGCATGCTGTGCTTGTAAGAATAGGCACCAGTGCAAGTGATCTGTTGTCACCACTGCTGAAATGCACCACCACTGCCTCGCTGTGCTCACATCCATTGTCGATGAATGTCAGTGGGTGCACTATTTTCAGCATGGAGGAATTTCATCCCACACCTTTGCTTCATACATACTTCCATGTCAGATGTCATTCTTTCAGACTGCCCCTCTTGCCACCTGTCGCACAGCAACAGCATGTAATGGAATATTGATGGGAAGGTTCAACTTCTACTGCCATATGACCAACGTCTGCCTAGAGGGCCAACATAATAGAACAGGTGGCACTACTTTGGTAGCAACTCTTATTTTGCTCTGAATTGTAAACTATGTATGTTTTACAATTAAAAAAATGGAACGTGTCAGATAAGAAATGTTCGTGAACCATACAAAAGGTAAGTCAGTGGATGAAGGAATTAAGAATGAAGCTTCTGCAGTTTGTCTTCCTATTTGTTAATGGAATTATCAGGGCAGTGAGTTTCATGTTCTTAATAAATCAAAATATCAGTATTAAATTTTAATAAGTGAGAATGGATATATTTGGAATATTAAGGATTTTCATGCAGGACTGCCGTAAATGAGAAGCGGCTCAATGAGTTGTGTGCAGGCTCTTAAAGGGTTTTTAGAGTATAAGAAGAGTATTTTTTTATTTGTGTAGGTTTGGGTTTTCTAGGATTTAACTATAGCAGAGTATGCCTGGGAGGAGAATGAACAGAATAAAGGTTATACGTCTGTTTTGAATCTCAACAGCTGTGCTAAACAGGGTATCTGGAATTCTTTAGCAAATTGTGCATATGGAGACATTGGCCTTGGATAAAATTTTCTTTTGTTCTCATTGATTACTTCAGTTATTTTATATAGTTGATTATAAACCACAGGTAGAATATACATCAAATACTGTTCTGCTGACTCAATCATTAGATCCTTTTTCTTCTGTATAAATCTGGAATAGCTGTTGTGATAGTTTAGGAGATGACACAGAGCTGATGTTGATAGTGACCCCAGGTTTTCCATTTTCATTTTCTACATCTTTCATCTTTCTGTTTATGATAAAACTTATGTTTTGGTTGTTTCTTTTTTTTCCCCCACTATACGTGTAAGTGGGCATTACAATAAATTGAATTTCCTTATTCATTTTGCTCTTGGGGTTTGTCTGCTCATACTCTGTTATGTTACTGGTTAAAGCTGCATTCTTCAAGGACTGCTCTGTATTTCTCCTTGCTGAGCTAGGACTTCTTAATGAGAGAGTCTTTATTGCTTTTGCGTTGCAAGCAGTAATGAAACTGCTTAATATCAGATTATTTAACATGCAAGGCGACTTTGGAGGGCAGTCATAGACAAATAGCCTGAGGTATCGTCGTCTGTAGTAACTTCTCAAAAAATATATTTTGAACAGCTTAATTTTTGACTGCATAATTTTCCATAGGTGTTTTTTCTTGTTGTGTCCTTTAAGTGTGCAGAAAGCTTGCTTGCTGGATCTTGTCTTGTCTGTTGTAGACTTTAAAGCTACATAGATAATCTTGCATATGCTGTGAAAGTACCTGCAATACCTCCGTTGTGTTAGGCATGAAGTAACTGGTAAATGATGAATTGTGGACTGCAAGTTTCAGAGTAATGCCAATTGACCAAATCATAAGTAGGTGTTTCATTACATGGCTACATTTCCAACATACATCAATCCATCTCTTTGAGAATTATAGACTAATTTGGATGTTTTTCATCATTTTTAAGTAGCATGCAATACACAGTGGGGATTGGTTCAAAACACGGATCTGTATATAACTGAACATATATACTTGTGGGATCCTAAAGATACATTAAAAAAGATATTTTCTGATCCATATTAAAACTATGTAGTTCCAAAAACATGCATTTACGGGGTAAGCAGAGCAGGGAAGGGGGGAATATTTTGCATTGCAATATGCAATATCCGCATAAGGATATGTATTTTTTTGCAATATGACAAACTATGTGAAAAGAATCAAAGAACAGGAAGTCAGGAGAAAAAAGTAAATCTGAATGCTTTAAGGATTGCTAAGGAACCAAGACAGATGTATCTATTTTCAGAAAATGGCTTTCTGATATCTACCTTTTCACATTCTGTGAATTTAATTGCTTTTATCACTGCTTCAGTGATTTTTTTCCAGAAAGAATGCTGTTTGGCCCTACTCAGTGTCTTGGTTGTAGAATGACTTTATTTCATGAATACAACTTCAAAAAAAATAAAAAATAAAAAAATTAAAAGGAAACCAACAGTAGAACAGTTGAAGCCCATCAAATCATCTGAGCATGTAAATTTTAGCAGGAATGCAGAATATTTGGAACTTCCTTCCTTTCTACAGTGGGGGAGGATGAGGAGTCTTACAGTCCCTAAACTTAGCATTTCCTTTTGAATTTGAAATTCTGAAGAAAATGAATTTCATTAAAACAAGTACAAAATATGTAAATAGGTAACTGGCTATTGGTAAGAGGAAGTTATTAAGCTTAGCACACTGCTCTTCTTTATTTGCATATGTAGCTTTTTTTTTAGTACCAGTGTGTTTTGTGTTCTAAGTCTTCAATATATAGTTAAAATGCCTTAAGCAGCTTCTGTGAAAATCACCAGGAATTCATGAGGAATGTCCCTGCACAGGACACAGTCTGGCTGCAATAGCTCAGCTAACTGCCAGGAGCAAACATAAACTATTAATCAGGCATCTCAGAGGCAACTTGGTTAAATGCAGTTCACACAGTAGCTAACGGTGAAAATAAGCATGTTACTCTGGCTCATCAAATTTCAAGGGAGAAAAAAAATGTTTTCTCATTTGTCCTTTTTTCCAATTATCAGAAATTTTGATTTCTAACAACCAACTTACTGCACATGGTGAATGTCCAGACTGACCTCTTTGGAAGAATATGAGGAGCTCAGTCTGAACACTCAGAGCTCAGCATTGCCAAGTTTATCTGCCGTGTGGATTCTGTGCCTCTTTCCCTTCTTTTTGAAACCTTCTCTTCTTATCAGTCAAGCATACTCAGAGTGTTGGCTTATTCAGACTTTTTTGTTCTCTCATAGCCTAACCAAACAGTGTCTTAATCCAGCTTGCATTTTTCAATTAACGTCTCTTCTCTCACTCTTTTTTCCTTGACTGCATCAGTTCACAACTCAGTTTTTGAAATTTGCTTCTGTTTGGCTGCTCTGACAGTCAAACATACTACAGTCTCCATTAACTGAAAATTAGTATCTTGAGATTAAAAAGCAAGTATAATGTCCTAACACTAGAAATTCTGAAACGTCAGTGGGACACAACTGGAAAGGTATCATATAAAAATGGGAAAAAGGAGATTCTTCCTCAAGTACTTAGAAATGTAGGTAAAGCACTTTGGGAAAATGTAAAGTTCTTGTTTATTTAGCAACTGCATTGTCTGCCTTTTGATACAGAAGAGCATTTCCTCCAACTTCCCTGTTTATTTTAACTTCTAGATGCTCACCTAACAGTAAAGAAGTTTTAAAGAACAGTCACTTGTTCATTAAGTCTAAGCTCATTATTCTCACCTATAATGTAGTATCTATTGTGTACAACATGAGCTCATCTACTGAGGGACAGAGTGAAGATGACCAACAACTGACCAATAAAGCTAGCTTGTGTTAAAGCTCTGCTTCAGCTATTGTGAGAAGCAGGTGTGCTCTGAGTCATGAACTGCTTTCACAGCAAAACGCACACAGTCTGCCAGAGGAGATTGCTCTTCTTTTCTCTAATATTGGCCCTCGTAGAATAGGGCAAAGCAGGTGTTCAGAGTTGGTCCTGTAACTCAGGCTGTCCCCAGAAATGCACCAGTGCTTCCCAGAAGAACTGTCTTACTTATTTTGTGTTAAACAAGTTTTGTTACTTCTTTTTTTAATTGGATTAAGGGGTGGGTTTTTTTGTTTGGTTGGTTTTTTTTAATGATTACTTTATGTAGCTAAAGTTCATCTTAAGTGATGATATTGGAAAACTGTTGCTGAGATAAATTTGAAGCATTTATTAACATCTACAACAAGGACCAATTACTTTGCCGTCAGTTAATTTGCATGTTGCCTCTGTATTTATCACACTGAGTTTGTGCTCCAGCAAGACTGGGCAACCTTGCTTAGTGTTCTTGGGCTGAAAAAGCTTTTCCTTGATATGCCATCTGAATCTTCTTCTTTCAAATTATGCGAGTTATCCCTTGTCTTCCTGACGATGACAGCAAGACAGTTTCTTGAACAAGCATTCAGGTTATCCCATAGCTGTTTCTTTTGAGGGCATATTCTCATTATTTGGTAGACAGTAGAAGTGGATTGGTTAATCCTGAAGTACTCATTCTCTGATGTGCCTGAGATGTTCCAAGTTATGTCAAACATTAAGCAAGAATTATCTTGCTTTCTGCATAGCTGTCAAATCTAAAGTCTTAAGTATCAATCAATGACTTCTGGATTTAAAGGGATATTTTATATCACAGTTTTGAAATTTAGTCTTTGGGCTGGATCACTCTTCCCAAGAAGAGCTTTGAGGTGGCATAGCAGTGCAACTTTGGTGCAGCTGCTTGTGCATGCAGGTGGCACTAGAAGTTAAATGTATGTGAAAATTATTAATTTATTGAAGAATATGCTTTCCATTGCTTTCTACATAATAATAGTAAATAGATCAATAATAAATAGATAAGTAATAGCAATGTTGCTAAATATTTGCTCTTTGGGCCTTTGGTATCCCTAATGTGTTTGCAGAGGGAACGTTCAAAGTAATATTCAGAAGTAGATCTGTTTCTTGGATCTTACTGTAGCAAGTATTGCCTTACACAGAAAGAAAAAAACAAATTTGCTTTTGAAGCAATTTCAGTAATGGAAGGAGAATAACAAAATTTACTTAAATAAAGCACCAGAACTAGAAGAGATAATGCTGAAATAAAGAAGGCTTTAGTGAGTACAAGTAAAGAAGTGTGGTACAAATAAAGAAATTTGACATAGTGAGTATGCCACCAGCTAGTAGTAAGAAATGTACAGATTGCAATTTAATTGTGTAGTCCTCATTCCTCTAGCTGTGGAAGTGTGAGTTCATATTTTCCTTCAGATATCTGAAAAAATTTGCTTTTATTTAAAAAACTGTGTAAAACTCTGGGCAGTAGAAGTATAGTAAACAAGGAGAATGTGACTGTGGAATAATGATATGTTCAAAGAAAAGAGGCACCAAATAATTCAACCTTTAAGAATTGCCTCGTTACAAGACAAAAGTAGATCACTGAAGGGGAATCCTCTGTTCTGTTACACTTTTTCTAAGGAAATAAATTATAAAATTCTCCTAAGCAAGTCATATAAAAGAGTATCTAGACATGATTATATGTATTGCAAATCTAGGGAGCATTAGCAGAAGACGCTTTTCAAACATTAACTAACATTATGGTTTGTGGCCATCTAGTGGTGAATCTTTTTTACGTATACTGTCCAAAACTGAATTATAAAAAAAAAAAAAAAAAAAAACCCTAATTCCCCGTAGCTCTTTCTGCTTTGAACAAGCCATTTTTTACAAGAGAATAATTTCCATTTTCTTCCTTTTCCTTCGTCTTCAAGATGAAACAATTTTTGATGTTGCAGATCCTTTCTGGCAGCTAGCTTTAATGTAAATTTTTTAAATGGTAGATTTTCAAGATGCAAAATATTCTGTAAAGTGTCTTTGAAGTTTACGTAAATTCTGAAAGCAGTGAATATTGCTTAATATCTTTGACTCACATGAAATTTGACAGGCGGTATACTGCCTGTCCTGCTTAACTCCATCTCATGAAATTGCCTTGGTGAAAGTTAAAACATACCTAAAGTTTTTTGTATTTTTCTCTATGAGCAATGGTTTTAAATGTTGTGGGGAAATTATTTCTCTGTAATGGTGGAATTGCTGTAAGCATCAGTAGGAAACAGTATAGCAGAACCATGGCAAGGCACATATTGAACGAGATTATTCTGCATGGTTTGTGAGATCTGGTTAACTTCTGATGTCTACTAAATTCCTAAGAAAATAAAAACTGAGATTTTTGCTTATATTCAGTAATGTAATGAGAGTGTTGGTGGCAAATGTAACTGTTTAGATTTGTTTTGTCTGGCTCATGACAAAATTCTAAAAATGTGGTAGCTTTTGGTTATTGATTTTTCATTGACTGGGAAATGGATTCTGCAATAATTTTGGCTTCACCATTTGTTTCTTTCATCAGTGTCATTTGTCATTCGTGACCATTCCAGCTAGCAGTTCCCTAAATTTTCAGTGTTGACACACACTTCTGCTCTTTCTTTTTTTACAATGAGGTAAATATTTCTTCTGTTCAATCTGCAGATTTCACCAGGATGTCAGATAAGCATAATACAACAAAAATACATGAACTCACTATCCAGCATGCCACCATCCATCCATTAACATCAAACATAATATCAGGATGGTATTGAGTTAATGTGTGTAATGGTTTGTTTCATTTTCAGGTATTTGGAGTGGATGACAGCCAGGATTATAATAGGCCTGTTATCAACGAGAACCAGAAAGATTTAGTAAAAGATTGGGCTATAAATTCTACTACAGTAGTGCTGGAAGAAAAAAGACCACAGAGTACAACTGGATTTCTTGACACAGAGGTAGAATTTAATTTTTGATGGTCTTCTTTTTTCTTCCAATAAGACAGAGCACTAATACTTGACCAATAAGTATTAAACAGCAAACAAAGCTTTTCCTAGAAAATATTGGCTCAGATCTATAAGTTTATTTTTCTTCGTTCTTTACTGTATTATTGAAATTTCTATGTCCCAATTTCCCAAGTTAAATTGGGAAGGTATATTAAAATTCAGAAATATGTTATATGCATTCAGTGAGGGAGAGAAAGCCAGCTAGGAAAAAAATGATGGGTGAATAGAAAAATATGTTTCAGTTTTATTTTGTTACAAAGCTGGAGGTTTTTGCATTCAAAGTTTCAGTTCTCAAGTGAGATGCGACTCCTGAGAAGTCACGTACATTATTTGCCTTAGAGGCAGCGTAATTTAATCAGTTGATGAAAGATGAGGTAAAGGAAAGCGTCTCTCCTTTTATATGACTCAGAATATACACATGAGCTACATGTTAATCATGTTATATGAAATCCTGGGACACATTCTGATGTATTGGTGAACGATAAACTGTAACCTGGAATGTGTTAGAACAGGCTCAAACTGGAACAGAATTGATCTGATAGTGAAACGCACCACATTTATTCCACTGGCTGTAAATGTAAATAAGAAAACCTTAAAAATAAGGAAACCTTCTGGAATATATCAAGAACTTTTAGTATGAGTATCTCCCTGCCGTGTAAATACACTGGTTTTGGTATCTTGTGCTTTCCATAGAAAAAGTGTACTTCGTAGTTTTTGTCTTTGAGGTACTGCACAATCCTGGGGCGCTGAATATGTGTCTGTCTAGATTAGTTCATTTGAGTAGTTTTTCTAAGGTTACTGCTTCAAGGAAATTATAATCATACCAGGATGGCTGTGTTATATAGAAGAATTTGACAAACTTCGCCTTTCACCGTGCTTCTTTGAGTTAATTTGTAAATTAAACCTTACTATCTTTTTCACGTCTTCCTGGTCCTTTAAGTCTACTGAGTTTTCAAGAGAATTAAAAGTACTGATTTGTTTCTATTTCTGTTGTAGTTTTGGGGAGTTTTTGGTTGTTGGTTTTTTTGTTTTGTTTTTGTAAACAGCAGTAGAACATACGATTAATTTTATGACCATGATTGTTCTTTCCACGTGTCATACTTTACACCTTGCAGGGATTGATTTGAGAGGACTTCTGCAATCATAGGATGAGTTTAAGAACTGTTGTGGCAATGACATATAAAAACTTGCTTTGAATTAGCTTGAAATTACAAAAATGGTCACTTTTTTTTCCTGAATAAATAAGTCTTCTTTATGTACTGGAGGAGGAGTTGGCTTTGTGTTGTCTTAATTTGCAGGATTATTATGAGACATCATAGGGGAAGAAATGAAAATTGTTTTGTATGTAAAGTAGACCAAACCATGTAGATGTAGCACAAATTAGTGTAATAAGAGATGGGGACAAATGACAATTGGAGAAAAGCTTACCAGAGAAACAATAGAGTATGTCAGTGCATATATGGAAGAAAAAGAGAAGTTAATTCAGAAAAGTGGAGGTGCCTTTTGTAGTGTGATAACAGGGAAACATCAGGAGCTTAACTGTTGGTTCAGCTGGAGAAAAGACTGCAATATGTAAAGTCTTTTACCAAAACAAATTTTATTATTTTTGGGAAAAGGAGAGGCAAATGTGTTTGATTTGCAAAGTCTGTGAGCACCATATTCTCATCATAGATGAGCTTTTCTGCTTGTTCTTTTTGGAAAACGTACTGTGTTACTGCAAGCTGCAGAACATAACTTACTGTTAGGAGCTGCAGATTATAAATGAATAAACCTTATTGAATGTCTTGACTAAACAGTCAGGTGACATTGGGGTAGCTCACTGTTCCAGGCTTGTTTTGTCTGCCCATCATGGTTGTACCTATAGATATTTAGAAGAAGCAGATGAAATCGGAAAATGAAATCGGACATAGAAAAAGAGATTTCAATTTTGGAAGTTGGAAATGATGTCTTGGGAAATTAATAATGTTTTATAAAAGCATTTAGGGGTTGAGAGATTGTTCTGAACTTAGATATGTTTACTTTACAGGGCAGGTTATAAATCGCTTGCTTCAAAGAGTGTCAAATTCTCTTCTCTTATGAAGAAGGTCTCACTTGTGATGTGACAGGCTTTGATATTTTAAAGTGGTGTATGTCAGGAGACTAGATGCAGAGTGAATGTCTTAACACAATTGCATTGAGCCTACATGCACTTGCATTTTCAACGATTACAGATTAGTCAGCAAAAACACTGAATCCATTTATCTAAAATATTCACATGTTTTTATTTTCTATATTATGATCTGCCACTTGCCAACCCAGGTAAGTGAGATTTAAGAACAAAAGTTAAATGGTAGAGAACAAAGAGAATAATTTTTGCTGTTGCAATATGTTCTGATTATATGAGCACATTGAATAAAAATACTGCAGTCTTTTGTGCTACAATATATTCACCCAGCTTCCATTTAATTTTCAGTGAGCAGTTACAGTATTATAACCACTGTTCTTAAGTTGTGGACATGATTTATCAACATTATTTTTGATGTGCTTGTTAAGGATGTACTTTTTTATTTTTCTGTATGCAGTGTCATCAGTGCTATTTGGCTACGGTGTTCCTTGTTTTGAACACTCAATTCACGTCTTTGCCAGTGAAAATAAACAGTAGTGATGACATTGCAAACGCAAAATAACTTCATGTAAATATTTGCTGTATTGCTCCGTAAAGCTGGAGAACAGCCGTGTCTATTCAGAGGCTTTATGTCCTTTTGTTTGTCTATTCCAATTAATTACACTAATTTCATATCCTTCTGTAGAGAAACCTTTGATTATGGAGTTTGATATTGGCTTTTTGTTTGAAATTAGAAGCTATGATTAAACATAGGATGATTATGTTAGCAGTGTCCTCTGGCTGTGAAAAGGCAAGCACCGGGCGATGCATTAGCAGCAGAAATGGGAAATCGTGGCACCATGATGGGAGGTGGCAGTAAATCTCCAGAACACTGGCAAGAGATTTGTTACCATTTTTGTTTATGAAAGGAGAATTCAGAACTAGAGGAGCCAAAGAGATTTTCTCGCATTGTTAAGAGAATAGAGATGTACATTACAAGAACAGATTGATAAAATTCCTTTACTTCAGATACGTGGTAGCTCACATGGATGTGATTGCTGGAGTTTGCTGTGTAAGTAGAGTTAATGCAACAGAAGGAAAAAAGAACTGTTTGAGATGCGTGTCAATGTTGTTCCATGAAGAAATGTGAAAACATTGTCTGTAAGTGAAGTATAGAAACTTGGGGGGAAAAAAAATCAGTGCTCATAGAAGAGTATGGTTCAGAAAAAGAAGAGGGGAGAGGGACTAAAAGACTTTCAAGATGCCTCTTAAATGTATGAAAAGATGGCATAGTCAGATATTTAGAACTTGCGGTGACTGGAATATGTATCTTAAAAAAAACTAATTTGGGTTCTATTTACTGAAATTTTTTTTGAACTTATAATGCTCTGAAATGCCAAGTAATGGGAGGCTTCTAGGCATCATATGCGTGTGCTGTGTCTTTTTTCAGATACACAGATGGAAGCTCTGAATCTTCAGGCTGAATAATACATCTTCATAAATCCATGGGTATTTTTCCTGTGGATGTATAACTCAGATTTAGTTTGAATATGTAGTAAGGGAAAGCAGATTCAACACAGAGTTATAATGCTGGGTCCTCTGATGTCAGCCTGGCTTTTCTGAAAGGCTGGGAAATTCTTCTTGGTCTGCAAGGGAAGACTTAAAGGACTGCTTGTTGAAAGCCTGTAAGATTCGTGGATTATATGGAGAAATTTGGATAACTGGATGTGAATTTTCAATGCTATATGAACCTTTCACATCTGGATATATTGGATTCTATTACTGAGCAACGTTTTGCTTTTAATAAGAACCTTTTAATTAAGGATTAAAATATCCATTTTTTTAACTACTGGTAAAAGGAACTTCATAGCTTTGTTGTGTATGTTTGTATATATAGAAAATTGAAAAACAACGCATTTGCACCCACTCCTTTTTAAGAATTTTTTTAACAGTGTAATTACCATTAATGTGCAGAATCTTCATCCTTTATTACAAAGTGATTATTGGAAATCATATCAGTGGAATTGCTTGTGATACACAAACAATTAGGGTTTTCTGTAGCAAAGATAAGTAGAACTACCATCATATCTGATTTAAGCTGTAATTAATTGCTTTGGTAGGGACAGAAAAACAAAGCAAAAAAAAAAAAAAAGTATCAGGAGTAGGAATGTTTTTTGTTGTCAGTGCCTAAATGCTGCTTGTTTTTGCATGTTTTTTGTTAAATTATTCTTTCTGGCACTCTTCTTACATCGTGTTCAGAAATGCCCATAAATAACTGAAACACTGAATTGCATTACTTCAGTGTTGTTAGATTTGAATTCTGTAACATTTTGATTCTAAGAAATGAATTGAGAATGTGGACATTTCTGTAGTAGTTTATAGAAGTGATTTGATGCATCTCTGGCATAATACATTCATAACAATCTGAAATAGATTCACAATGCTTTTGTTTGCATTAATTGGAGTCATCCATATGATTTAGAGACATTCAGGAATATAAATTCAAATCTTCTTAATTAGCTAAGTAACTTTCAATTTAAAAGAGGTTCTTGTACATTAGATGACACCTTTTCAGCTTTCAATTTTTGCTGAATAAATTTCATAAAATCAATACTGTTAATTCCTGATCAAAGGTTAGAATCCCAGGGTGCCCAATAAATTAAACAGAAATCTACATTTTTAATGTTAGTGCCAAGCAGAGCTTCAGGTAACCTCTGAAAGAGTTGCTTCACATTCTCTTTAGAAGCAAGGTTTGCATATCTTCGTGTCTTTCCCATCTCTTCTGTTGATCTCGAATTGCGATTTTTGATTTTACTCGCCTATAGTTATGTAACTCCCTTAGTGCTGCAGCCAGTGACTTTTTTCACTTGCAGCAATTTGGCTTTTGAGTCCCATAGATCAGACTATCTAAACTAGAAAATGTATCAAGTCTTCTATAGCGTTCTGCCATGGATGCACGTATACATCTGTCCACAGTTGTCTGCTGTCTTTGGAGGAGCACGATAAAGTCTGCTATGGAGGGTGAAACAATAATCTTGTGTTATATCTAGAAATCTGTTTTTGGGAAATAAATGCTTATCATACTGTAAGAATACAGAGCAGGAAGGTGCTTTGAGTTTTATTTTTACTTTTATTCATTTAAAAACTTGTCAAAAGGCTTTCCTATTGGGAAAGCAAGTCCATTTTCTTTTCAGGTCAGCTGAAAAAAAAAAAAGAAAATCAGATAGTGAGCGCACTGACTACCCTGCTAGCCTATACAATGGTATAAAACAATCTTTCCTTCTTTTGTCATTTAGACTGGACGAATTATTTATCTTGCTCTTCTTTCTCTCACGGGTTTTTCATTTCTTCAGTTCTTAAGGCATTCTTTCCATAATGAACTAAATACAATGTATCTGGACAAGAGATCTTTTAAACTGGTAAAATGTATCCTGAGCATCTTCTTGAAGCTTATTCTTAATTCTTGCCCACAGCCCTACCTGCAGTGTTTCTTCCCCACTCTTGTGTTTTGAATCAGGCACACGCTCTAATATATTTTCTAAAGATTCTGATTTTTAAAATTTCATAGCATGAAGAGATGTTCTTTATTCTATACTGATTTTGCAGCTGTATGTGGAGTTATTTATATTGCTGTTCTAGAAACAGTAAATCTAAAATATATTCAAGTAAACTCCTTTTTCAGTTTCCTCCAGGTAGATAGTGTCTGACATTTCTATTCCAGGAAAAGTTGGAATGAGAACATAATTCTATCAAACAGTTGTCATTTTCTTCTACTGTTTTTCTTCCTTAGGAAGGTTCTACTGCACCTGGAAGTAAACGTTGGGTATCACAGTGGGCTAGTTTGGCTGCCAATCACACACGTCATGACCCAGATGATATCAGATTGGAGTCACCTGTTCCTGCTGCTTTAGAGAACGGTAATAAATCAGTTCTTGTTGACATAATTTCTGATGAAGAAACCTCTGAAAGGGGTGAAGAATGATCATGTACATAAATAAGCAACCTTCATACTGTTAAGACCTGGTCTTCATTTGAAATTCTTACGTGTCTTTGAGAAGACGCAGTGTAGAAACTAGCTCTGTGGAAGTTTTCTGACACAGAAGATGGATGCCAAAATTAAACAAAGATACTAAAGCAAATTAAAAAGCGTAACATAAAGGAAACTTTCACTTTAATGCAGTTTGGGTTCATGTGCCTAATATGTTTCTGGTATACTGGGGATTGGCTGTTAAACCATCTGACCTGAAGTTTGTTATTCAGCTGTTCTTCAGCTGAAAGGTAGCCGTATTTCTGACACTGGAAACAAAGACGACATACTTCATCTCCAGTGATGAACAACTGTCTGTCTTTAACTAAACTATTCACATCTGTGTTTTTAAGTAGTTTGTTCACTAAGGTCTACACTCTTGACTATGAAGGAGTTGCTTAGCTTACCTATCCTCAGTTGTTTTCTTCCTCTCAGTTTCAACCTAGAGACGTTGATGCAACAGAACAATCTAGTGTATTTCTAATGCTGATTTTTACATGCTGAGGTAGAAGTTGCTATATTTAGCAAAGTAGTTTCATAGTTGTCTTCTGTAAATCATGAGCTAATATAGCTCTTTGTTGCCAAATTCATTACACAAGGATGTCATTTCCATGCTTTCCACATCCTGAATGTAATATGCTGTTTAGAAATCGAGAAGTAACCAACTGTCAGCCTACTGCTAGTTATGTTTCTGTCCTGCAATTCCAGCATTTCCTCTTATTCCAGTTGACTTTGAAATTCACAACAAAGTTTAAAAGATTTTTTAAAATGGGAAAAAATGTGTGTTTAAAGTAGAAATGCCTCTCTGTGTACATCACTTCAGAAGACACACTACTACCTACAGAGCTTGTCCAATAACCTCTTGTTAGATATTGGTGAGTAAAATTAATTACTTGTCTTTCTAATAACTTTTTTTTTTTTCCATGAAGTTGCATTTCAGAAGAGTAATTTGTGTTCTCTACTTTTTTTGTTATAGCTGCTGATTTTCTTCAGATTCTCAAGATTCCATATGTCTATTACAAATTCAGAGCAAGCTACATCTTTGAACTTTAAGTTAGTCTCTCAGAAGAATGCGTTTTCAAAATGATAAAACTAAGTCTTCACTGCTTTCAGAATGGAATCCTGTAATTCTCCCCTTGCTAAGTCTGGAAACTTGGTCTCAGCACTCTGCCCAGCAGGCAGGCCTTCCGCAGAGCAAGCTTAGCTTGCTTATTCCTCAGATTCCTGGGATTTTTGGTTGTTGAGGCTTTTTTTTGGGGGGGAAGGAGGGAGCAGGGGGAGGTGGACAGTTTGGTTGGTTTGTTCCTCGCTGTGCACACTCCTTCTTGAGTCCCCAAACAAGTGTAAAAGCATAGCAGCAGGGATTTTTCCAAAATAGTTATCAAGTTTGCATTACAAACATAGTAAAGAATAACTTCTTTAAAAGGAAAAAACAAGAACAAAACAATACCATATCCATATTTTACTGCACAAATAATAGGTTTCTTGATACCAGATCTGGGTTATGTGAACTGAACCATTGTTTGAGTTGCTTGATCTTGAATCCCATAGTGATTTTTTTCTTTGAAATTCTTTGTGCCTGGGACATCTTAATTTTGTTGTAACTTATGTATATTTTTCTTAAGTGGATTTGTTGCAGATGTATTTTGCTGCTCTCAGATTTAAGGTAACACTGATAAATGCATTTGCGTACTTTGTGTTTATAGAGACCTTATCCGTACCATTTATTCTGTATCAGAAAAAAGCTAGTTAGTGTCATCACAAAAGAGTTAGCTTTTAATTCCGTGTATTGTTCTAACACAAAGAATGGAAGACAAAGGAAGTGAATTTTAATCCTGAAGTTGGATTAATATCTTTAATATTTTATTCAAAATTTTAAAAAGTGAAACTGAAATATTATTGGGAATTACAACAAATTGTTTACTAGCATTGCTTACTAACTGAAGCTCTATTCAAGCTTATATTCAGCAGATGATAGTGTATATAAGTATGTTTAATTAAATGAATTTTAATTTAATCGATTGTCGTTATTTTTCTTATTATTTTTTTAAGTCAATTGCGTGGTTTTAAAATATAACAGATGAGGCCATATATTAAAGTAAGCAATAAAAGAACTTCCAATTTCAGAGCCTCATTGTATTGTTTTCAAAGAAATTTTGCCTTTAATGTTGTGTAGTTTAAATGTCTGTGTCAATGCATGAAAGAATTCTTACCAGTGACTACTGCTTCTCTAGGAGCTTTTGCACCCCTCATAGAGTTGGAACTTTGAATATGTTGTTCTTTAGGATATCAAATATGTAAGGAGATGGAAAGGTGGAAATTAAATAATTTGATGTATCATGTATGCAGAATAATGGGTATTGAGTAAATTCTATACTACTTGGAAGCATCAGAGTGAGATATAATATATATATAAGTACTTAAAACAATAGCCCATGATGTGATGAGACTGATCCTTTGGATGGTTAACTTGCAAACTGGCGGGTATGATGTGGTTTTTGGATTCATTTAAATTCTATATTTTAGATGGAACACTAACCAGAATCTTTGAAGGGATGAATACATATTTTGCCAGCATAAGAACTTTGATTTAAGTGAACTAACAACTGTGTAATATGCCCCTATATTGCAAGAATTCTAAAATGCTTAATATCCAGAAAGCACACAAAAACCTAACTTGTGATGAAAGTTGTATATAATATGTATGTCCATAGAAGAATTCACAAAGTCTGCTTTGTTAGCTTAGGTGCCTACATTTTCTTCAGAAATGTTGGTAGTTAACTTTCCAAAGGTGTGTACATTGCCGTCAGCAATGCTGGGTCATGCTACACCTCTACTACTAACGAGTTTTAAATGTCTAGATATCTGAAAAAATGAATAGGTAACGAACAAGTTGAGCTTGTAGGTATGTCTGAGAGAAGCCTGTCTTCACAAATATCAGTTATGCTGATTTCTGTTCAATATATATTTATATATATATATTTTTATATATCTATATTATATTTTTTTTTAATTTACAAAAGTATCAATTCCCATGAAAAAATATCCAGAAATGTTTAGATTTCAGTGGTATCTCCTGCTTTTCTAAATGAGTGTCCTAACACAGGTGATACAAGAAAAATGTGCAAGTTGTTTTGCCACCTTCATCTAAGATGTGACGATGTGCAAAGCAAAAATAAAAACTAAGAACGCAGAAGATAAGTATTTGATTTATTGTAGTGGTTTTATACATACAACTGCACACATACAGTGTAACTGATAATATTCAATTAAGGGATAAGAGAGTTCTTGCCATGAGGGACACCTTATTCTCCTGGAACAACCAATGTATGTTTATATATATTTTTCAACATAGATGCCACTACTACCTCTGCATTTTCACCAGTGATGAACAAGACTGTGCACGTCATGCTCATAAAAATCTTCACCAGCGGAGTTGAACTGCTGTCGCCTCTGCTGAAATGCACACCCACCGCCTCCCTGTGTTCTCATCCACTGTTTAGTCTCCAGAAGTGTTCAGCAAGCATCAATAAATGTCAATGGGTGTCATTTTTTCCTGCATGGAGGAGCTCAGTTCCACACTTTGGCTTCATCCACTTCCATGTCAGATGCCTTTGTATCAGACTGCCCCTCTGTTGCCAACTGTTAGACAACAGTAAACAACAAAATATAATGGGACATTGGCAGAAAGGTTCGCCCTCTACTGCCACACCAACATCATCATCTGCCTCTGAGATCATGGGCCAACATAATAAAGCAGGAGGCATTACTTTCAGAGCTGCCCTCCGATGTTCCAGTGACGTTTCAGTTTTATGTTGTTTGATTAGTATTATGCTGTCTTAATTTAATGTTTGTGTTTAGCTTGCTACTGAATTGCTTCTTAGATATGCTTTCTTTTTTTCATTTTTAGACACAGATATCAGTGAATCTGGTATTTCCATCAGAAGTACCGGTTCAGCTACGTCTGTGACCAGCCAAGGTGAGCGGAAGAGAAGGACGCTTCCACAACTTCCCAAGGAGGAGAAAATGAGTGAAAGCTCCAGAACAAAAACTGCATCTCATCAGAGATCAGAAATAGGTGAAAAGCAGGACACTGAACTTCAAGAGAAAGAAACTCCAGCTCGTGCCTCAGATACTGACAGCAGAAGTATAGCTAAGTCAAGCAGAACTGTGAATGGTCTTTCACCCAAAGCAACGGGAGAAAAGGTTTTCTCTTTCCCTAGTTCTTCCAGTAAAGAGAGAGCTGAAACTGGCAGAGAAACTTCTGTGGTGAAACAAGCTCTAGTGAAAATTCAACAAGAACGAAAGGAGCAAGGACACTGGACACCCACAAAATCTGCTACAAACCTAGTTGAGAAAGATAAGGAGGAGATTGCTGTGTCACGCAAAACTTTGGATAATCAGGACAAAGCTCCTGGACATGATAAAGCAGCAATGAAGCTAGCACAAAGTGAGGGAAAAAGAAGAAGAAATGAGGAAAGTATTAAAGGACAAAGTCCTAAAGCATCAGGAGAAAAAAAGGAATCTTCAAAACCTTTGGTGAGGCAAGGCAGCTTTACTATAGATAAGCCTAGCACAAATATACCAATAGAGCTTATTCCTCACATTAATAAGCAAAGCGGATCTGCTGCCCCCTTAGCATCTGCAAACAGAATACGTGACAGAAGTGATTCAATGGACACTGATTCCAGTCTAGATACAACACTCATTTTAAAAGACACTGAAGCTGTAATGGCTTTCCTTGAAGCTAAACTGCGTGAGGAGAATAAAACTGATGAAGGTCCTGAGACTCCTAGCTATAACAGAGATAATTCCATATCACCAGAATCAGATGTAGATACAGCCAGCACAATCAGTCTTGTTACTGGTGACAGTGAAAGGAAATCCACACAAAAACGAAAGAGCTTTACAACCTTATATAAAGATAGATGTTCCTCTGGTTCCCCTTCTAAGGATGTTGTAAAATCCTCTGCAGCAAGTGCCAGAGAAAAGATGGAAAAGAAAACTAAAAGTCGATCGTCAGATGGTGGATCTAGAGCTGATGCTCGCAAATCTGTGCAATCCAGTGGAAGAATGAGACAACCATCAGTAGACTTGACAGATGATGACCAAACATCTAGCGTACCTCATTCTGCCATTTCCGATATCTTATCATCTGACCAGGAAACCTACTCTGGCAAATCACATGGAAGAGTTCCTTTTGCCTCAGCAGATGAACTTTTGCATTCTAAAATGGAAGGAAAGTCAGCTAAATCAAAAAGCTCTCCTGTCGTACTCGGACAATCTAGTAAATCTACCACTCTTCCAAGACCTCGTCCTACAAGGACTTCTCTCCTGCGCAGAGCACGACTTGGTGAAGCCTCAGACAGCGAGCTTGCTGATGCCGATAAAGCTTCAGTCGCTTCTGAAGTGTCCACTACAAGTTCTACGTCAAAACCTCCATCAGGGAGGAGGAGTATTTCCAGAATAGACTTACTTGCTCAACCCCGCAGAACTCGACTTGGCTCTTTATCAGCACGTAGTGATTCTGAAGCGACAATAACCAGAAGCACTGCTTCATCTCGTACTCCAGAAGCTATTATCAGAAGTGCAAGGCTGACATTAGCAGGAGAAAGTAAAGTTTCTGCCAGAACTCGAGCCAATAGCATTTCTCGACTTTCAGATTCAAAATCCAAATCTTTGGCTTCAGCTCATAATTCTCCCTCAGGTATGTCTGACTATTTGAACTATTTTTCTACAATACTACATATATATATAATTTATTTACGTATTTTTAAGGTACTGTTCTTACCAAACAATTCATTGAGTTTTAGTTGACTTGATCTTTTTCTTTCAAGTAGGAGGCTTTCTTGGTGATGCTTGTGGACATTTCTCACTTAAAGTCACAAAGACAAGAAATTTTAATCTTTTAACTTCTTGGGTGGAGATATGCATGTGTGTGTATATGTATATAAAATTATGTTAGTCTAACTGGAAGTCAGTATCGAAGAATTACACTGAGGTATTCAAGTGTGGCAGCACTGATTTGCACGAGAGTGAAATCTCTCAGCTCAAGCCATAGTAGTGAATATTTAGAAGGTCAGCAACATTTTTACTACATAGAATATACAGCATTAGTTTGTTAAGTATATTTGCCAGCCTGGCATACAGTAAGTGCTCCCTAAGGGAACACCCTGTGAAGTTTAAGGATATTCTTATTCATAATTTAAGATCAGCTTCTAAAACCACAAAAGTGAGATTTGTTTAGTATGGATAATAACAAAGAAGAAGGAAGGGAAAAAATGAAAACACAAACAATACTTGACTAAGCACACTAAAGTTAAGCAATTCATATTATATTTGCCTTGCCTTAGAGTAGTTTCTATTCTCATATCTAAGTCATGACAATTTCTGGTTTTGTCATGATTTCCAAATGGTGTTTCTTTTGAATGGTAGCTTGTTTACTGTAATTTATCTTAGATGTGGATGAAAAAAAATCCATAGAGTTGATTAATTTTAACCTGCTATTCAGTTAGAAGCTAACACACTGCCTTAGATACAAGCAGAGTAAAAGGTTGCTAGATTTTTTTCCAACAGAAATATTAAATCAATCAAAGTTGAAATGTGGTGATTCTAAATGTTATCTACCATATGAAATGAATATTTATAATTGGTGACTTCTTGCTTTTTGAGTTGCCTGTACTGACTGTATTTCAAGCCAATGCACAATCTAAGAAAAAAATAAATCACAATAGCTTGCTTAATTCCAGTGCTGAGGTATTTCCACTGAGACTATATTTTTAATATACCATCTCGTATTTAGAATACATGTATTTATAAATTTGTTTAGGTATATTTCCTGCTAGCCTTCCGTTGCTTGTGTATCATGAATGTACCACTAGAATTCTTAGCAGTTTAGCAGTTTCTCCTACACTGCTGTGTTTTTGTTGTGTTGTTTATTAGCTAAATAGAATTTTCAGAAGAGATAAAAATAAAGTAGAAAACAAAGAAGGTGATTCTGTTATAATATGATCTCTATAAGGATACAAAAAAAAAAAAAAAGAATTAAACCTTTGATAAAAACGGAATATTTCCCTCTAAGATGTCATTGGAAAAATAACATACTTTCACTTTTAATCAGTTTTGACTGCACTCATGCAGCTTGAAAGCTGGCAGCTTTAATCCAAAGAGTGTCCATTAATACTGCTTGTACTTTTAATAACCAACACTAATTCTCATCCCGCTACCACTGGTTTTTTTAAAAGGCAAACCACAGATACTACTTGTCTCTTTGCTTCCCCCTGCCCCCCCCCTCCTCCCCAAAACTGTATATGGATGTTGAGATTTGTGTACATTTGTAAGGCTCCATGCTTTCTAAACTTGTCCCAGATTGCTGCATTGAAGTGATTTGTCAATTCTGTTCAGTGGAGTCCTTTCAGCTTTCATTTCCCAGTCTATTAGTCTGTCCTGGCTGTCTGTCCTTAACGTTCATGTCAGTTACCTGCATTATACAGCTAACTCTGCCTTGTATAAAATGTACTGCTTTCCAAAGGGAAAAAGATGCCATCTTCTCATGAGCTACCCAACTTATATAATAAGCTAGCTATTAGAAACCTCTACTGTTTTAAAAGATTTGCAGTGGAACTAGCTTATGCCATTAAAACAAGAGTATCAATGTACGTACCCAAATCAGGAGTAGCATGTAAGCCATTTAGAATTTACTTCAGGTATATTGGAATTGCTGTAAAACTGGTGTAAAATTTAGTGCTGCAGGCCACTTACACACACCACTACTCATTGCATCTCCATTTTCTCACTGGCATTTTTAAAATGATGATAACATGTCAAGTTATTAATAACACTATCATTTTCCCCATTTTACACATATTTAAAATGTTTGATTTGAATGTATTATTTGCATGCAATATATAAAATGTAAAGCAGTGGCATGTTTTAGATTTAAAGAATATAATTTTGTTTCTAGAAATGTCAACAATTCATTTAAATGTTTTGTTGTGCTCTTAAAAATTACTGATGAAATGCCTGAAGTACGTCAAAGTGTTTGTATGTATTTGCCTTCGGGCAGATTTAATTCAAGCATAATTATTGCTTATTTTCTTGTCTACCTGGACCTAGAAAGACTGGAAAATGCATTATCTTTACCAGGAAGTTAGTTGTTTTTTTCTTATTGTACTTGTTTTCACTAGTGCATTAGTTGTGATTGAAGTGTTAAGACTGTTCCATGGGCCTTCTCATCAGAGCAGTTAACATTACAGCATTGTAGATCAAGAAAATATTGGCATTGGAATCATGCTGCTTAGATTCAGTCTATGGAAGAGAAAATTATTTTCACATTTTGCAAATCTCTTTGACTGTTCAGACATACATGCCCACAAAAGTGGGGAGGAAAGGACTGCATTGATTGAATTTTTTAATTAGTGTGCATTTATGTGGATTGATCGCAACATAACAGCATTAAAATTGCCAGAGCTGTGAGCAAGTCCATAGTTTCCAGAAACTTGTTTAAGCCTTTGTGCAGATAAGTATTGCTTGTTTTTAAATGAAAGGGCAAGCAGCTAAATGGAATGTTTTGGATGAGAATTATCAGTATTGAAGTATTTGCCAGGGTGTTCCCATGGCAGGAGGCATGATAACTGAGAGCACTGGGAAAAACCGAAGCAAATTAGTCATTCTGTGTATAGCACAAGCAATGAAAGATTTGATTATTTAGTGCCTCGATTAAAAAATAGGGTGATCAATAAAAACAGAGAAGACAGAATTTTGGAGGAAAATTGCAGATGATGTTATGAGAAGAGCCACATGTTGCAGAGAAAAAGCTGTGAGGACAGACTTAGCGTAAGAGTGCCAACTGCAACTGTAAAATTCTGCATTATTTTAAAGCAGAGAGACCTTGGTGAGTGACTGGTGGTGGCAGCACTGCCAGCTTGCTGACCGAGCTGTCATTGCAAATAATTAGCAGCCAAGTTCACCAAAGCTGCTGAGGTATCCCTGTAAGAAAAAGCAAAGGGTTCAAGCACGGAAAACAACCTTTATCTGACCTTTAGCATTTTTGCAGTGCTGAGCACCAGATGTGAGGATTTTTGAAACAGGCAATCTCTGAGATGGCAGTGCATCAATGAGGATATTTTGTAAGGGATACGTTGAGTAAATCTGCTCCCAAATTTTAAAAGATCGTGGTGTCATTTGCTAAATTAAGGTGTTGTCAACATACTGTGCTTTCACACAGCAGCCACCAGTAACATTTGTCAACTGTTAAGTATGCAGTAACATTTTTCCCACATTAAAACGATCATAATAATGAATTTTCACGATTGCTTTTGTGGTGCTATGTAGCCAGTTGCTATTGATGTTATTTCAATTGCATAGTATCTCTGGAATGCTGAAGCTTTTGCAAAGTTCTTTATTTTTGATTTAATGTATAATTTAAGGATTTTTTTCTAAAAAGTATGAGTCAATGCTGTGTGGAAAAAGAGGAATTAATACTGATCTCATCAATAGATTTTATTTAAGCAAATGATTCTTATCTGAATGTTTTAATGCAAATTAACATGATAAAACACTATTTTGTACACAGAGAAACCCAAGCTTCTCCCAGACCCAGATCCTGATGTTGAAACTTACAGTGGTAGAGTACTAGAAATCAAATCTGTTTCTGATATTTCACTTCTCATTCAATCTTTAGTTTTTAAATATATGACTACATATGCTCATTGTACAGTGCTGAGTTACTGGACTAGCTCACTTGAGAGATTTTATGATCAATTTTATATTTATTTTGATGCATTTCATTTGAACTCGGACAAAATATGTAAACAAAAATTGATAATGAAATGTGGGCCCAACTCATAAATCTCTTTGGACTTCAGTCACAAGTTGCTTGCATGCTATTGGTGGGGAAATGTGCTTTTTCTGCTTATGTTCTATTTCCCTAATCAAAACAAACTTAAACCTCTAAAAAGAATGCAGTAATTGGAAAGATCTTTTTCTTTCCTTCAATAAAGTTAGAATAGTGATAAGTTAAAAAAAAAAATTGAAAATTAGTAGAGCTGGACACAATTTGAAGTCTACATTTAAACCTGAAAAAATTGTGCAAGAATGTTTGTGTTTTTAGCAATTAAAAATGGATTTTTTACATGAGGGAAGGGGTGTAAGCTTATGACATCAGTATCATATTATAAGCATTATAATCATTCGAGGCACTGCACAGATCATTTCGCAATTAAAAATGACTTTTGACACTTATTGCCTGAATTCATACTGATACATTATTTCTAATGTATTGGCTCTTTTAATGGTTTGAGAGTGGTCATTTTTACAAGTTGTATTTTTCTTTTTCCTATCCTAAAGCCACTATGAATAAATTGAACACTTTACATTACCAAGATACGATCACACACTTTACAAAATGTCTATGGTTATTACAGAGCCTCATGAATGTCAGTGAGTTTAGGGGATTAAATCCCCTGCAAGACTTAAGCAGGTCACAGTGATGAGCACTCCTTTACACTCGGGTGATGTCTCTTCCTGCTGGGAATGTTTGAGGACAGAATGTCTGAAACAGGACTTGACTAATTCCTAGGGGGAAGAAAGCTTCCTACTTCCAGTTCTCTTCTACTTCAGTCTGTCCACAGCAACGTGGCCTTATATACTTTGTGCTACGTGTGAGAAAACATGCATTTTGCTCTAAGGTTTCTGGAGATCTGCTGCTGATTTTTATGGCACAGTATTAGAAATATTTTTTTCTATGCTAAATTGTATCTTCCTGGCTTTTAATGCTTTCCTTATGTAAGCATGCGTTCTAGGCTTGCTGCCAGCTCAGTCCTTCCTTCATGTCTTTTCATTTTTTTATATATTTTTTTGTGTGTGCTACTTAAACCTTAAATGAAACTTATGGGGAAAAAAATCTGCAGAAAAAGTGCAAGCTGATTATATACTTAAATGTTAATGAATTGGGCCCCCGATTTTTAATACAGTTTGCTTGAGCTCATATACAGTTACTGGCTTTTACATCTTATTTCACTCATCATTATACAAAGAGCATCCAATTTGTGTTTTATTAATATTATTTAACACAACTTCTGTAGCTTTCTTTTTAAGATGTAGTAAAAAAGCTTTTTGTAAGGTATCTGGGGATTGGCAATTAATAGTTGTGTACTTTTATGATAATACTGAAATAATTTTGTTTTTTTTTCCTTATAAAAGATACAATAATAATTCTTTTTTAATGATTAAACTAATTTAGTAAGTGCAAGATGGAGGCGCTTTCCTACAGATTATGCTTCCACCTCAGAAGATGAATTTGGATCAAACCGTAATTCTCCTAAACATACCCGTCTACGTACCTCTCCAGCCCTGAAAACCACACGACTGCAGAGCACGGGGACAGCAACTCAAAGTAGCAATGCTTTCAAGCACAGAATAAAAGAACAGGAAGATTACATACGTGATTGGACTGCTCACCGAGAAGAAATAGCAAGGTTGGTTTCAAAGCAGCACCACCAAAATAACAAGGATTTGTACCCAGACTGTTGTATGGTGCATAAATAGGCGAAAGTAAGCTGGTAGATTATCTGTATCGCTCTGCATGGTTTTCATTTGCTAACTGAAAGGGTGATTTTGAATTCCTCTTGTGAGACATTAGCAGAACACCTGTGTTACCTGCACATATTCTAACGGATTGTGATGATCGTTGCTGAGTTATGACAGCTAGATCCCAGAGCGCAGCTTCTGGTTGCGTTAGTAGGACTTGCAGAGGAACTTTGTGTGGAACTGTTGGTTGCTACTGGTATATTTCTTGAGCTGTATTTGAATTGTATCTAATTTTGTATTACGTTTGCATTGATAGTGAGGAAGAATTTCAGATGAGGGCGTACGTGTCAGAGAGGAAGTAAGTTCTGAGAGACCAGTAGATCATGTTAGACATCATGTGATTTTAGATCACAAAAGTAATTTCTTGTGAGTCCCTGAGACTAGTGTCGCAATTTCTACATTATTGCTATTAGCACTGTGCTTCAAGAGAGCCATGGAAAAGGCAGTCACTTCTACACTCTACTAATTATTCCCATATCATGCAGTACCCAGGCAATGAAAGCAGCTTGTTCAAAGTAAATTAAACTGTGTAAGTATTTAAATCCTGTCTAAAACTTAGGTGTGAGTGTTCAAGTTTTGAACATTTTCACAGAACCTAGTTTGGAAGCCTAAAAAAGAAAAGTGTTGTTTGTGTAAGTTATCTTATGCTGTGGTCTCACAGCTGTGAAGCACTGTGTTGCTTAGTTTAAGTAACTATTTCTTTTTTTCCCATCTTCTTGATAATATTTTTCAACATTTTCTTCTAGTGTAGTCTGTGCAAAGGGAAAATACTTAAGGCAGCCTTGGTAAGTTGTGAGAAGCACCTTGAACTAACAGGTTATGAATTTAATTATAATTGAATAGCAAGAATATGAAGAAGGTATGATTAAAATCAGAAAGGTATAAGGCTTAGAAACTTCAGAGGTGTAATTTCCATATTGTAGCTTAGGTGATACTGTGTCCTCCTGAACACAGATGAAGAAAAGTGCTTTAACATCAGAAATGTTGTATATTTATATATTCATATTTGTGCATATATGTGTATTTATACACACATGCACATCTATGGAAATGTTCAACTCTTACAGAATTCTGTGAGTTAAGATTTATTTATTTTTAGTTAAATTTGCATCCACTCTACTAAAATAGGTCGCTTTTAAATGTGGAAGTGAATGGGTGACCAGGGTAATTGGTACATTACAGGAGAATGCGTACAAGTCTGTCAACTGAAGACAGGTGGAATAGTTCACTAATTTTGTTAGCTTCCTTCACTTCTGCAGTTGCATTATTATTATTTTTATTTATTTTTATTCCTTATTTATGCTTGCCAGTCATCGGTTACACGTTTAACAATGTCTTTGCAAAGGATTTGAGAGGACAGGAGAGAGAGGGTTGATTTTTGTTAAGATCAATTGAATGACTGATCAGATTAGGGAGGTTTTATCTTAAAGTTGAGACTATATGACAAGCGTTTTGTTTCTTCCATGTTACCATCATGTTCTTTAAACTGGTCTTCAAAGAATGATCCAGCTTACGCTTTTCACAGACTCTGCAATTAACAAATGTTAATAAACTTGGAAAATATATTTTAAAAAATGTCTTTTGGAACCTCCTGGGGAAAGAGAGATGCAAGAAAGGCTAGGGAAGCTCCATATGATTCCGTTCTGCTGAGCAAAATGCAGAGCAGAGCTGTGTTGTGATGTGGTAGAAAGACAGAGGCAGTGCAGAGAGAGACAGCAGTAGTTCAGAGCTCTTCAGATAGCAATTAGTCAAAAGAACTTTCAGCTGAGGAGTTGAATATGTTTCTATAATGCCATCATACATTAGTTTTTCCAAATGGCAAGCTTTTCTTCTTTGAATTCGGGGATTTGAGGTATTGATCATGAATTTTAGACACGTAAGCAGTTCAATCTGAGCAAGCTGCAAGGCTGCTTTATAATAAGAGGTCTTGCAGAAGTTCTCTGCAAGTAGATAAGCTGAAATACAAATTAAAGGTGTCTTCATGGGACATCTGTGCAGTATTTTCACAGTATTTCCAGTGTGTCCTACGTTGAACTTGATTGTGTTGCACACTTCTGCCTGGGAATCCTAGGAAGAAAACAAGGATACTCTCTTGAGATTTCTACCATCTTCTTCTATAGGGGCATATTATTAAGAGCTTCAGTTAAGAATTTCCTGTTGTTTTTCTATGCATACACTTTCTGTTCTGAAAAGCATACTCCTCCTCATAACTCAGCTACCGTCAAAAACTGGAACACCATCTGAAAGGCTGCAGGCTGGGCTCTACTGCTCTGTTTGTATTTGTAGACAAGAGTGTAACGCTGTCTTTGTTACTAGGATCAGTCAAGATCTGGCTCTCATCGCACGGGAAATCAACGATGTAGCGGGAGAAATAGATTCAGTGACTTCATCAGGCACTGCCCCCAGTACCACAGTAAGCACTGCTGCCACCACCCCTGGCTCTGCCATAGACACTAGAGAAGAGGTAGGAGATCTTCATGGAGAAATGCATAAGGTTCTTTCTTTTCTTTATTTCTTTTGCTTTTAGCATTTTGCATAGCCTTTTTTAGTTATTTCCACCCAACCTGTATGCATAATCTCTACCTTCATTTTTAATTTAAAGTTCTTTTATGTTCTGATAAACTACCCAGAAATCGTAAAAAATACCACACAAATGCACACTATCTGTCTGTCTCTTTTTTTCCACAAAGCGTAGGACAGGATGATTATTTGTTTCCTTCTTGTCCTTAGCCTTAGATACTGTTGGGTAGTATCTAAGTGCATTTAAAAGTATTAGTGACATATGCAGGAATATATACTCTTTTCACAGGTAATATTGAGGTTTCTTTTTCTGGAAACTGAGATGCTTAGGCACCATCAGCTAACAATAACTTCACATTTTCTTTCCTAATAATGTCGTAAAAACTGCCTTAAAAGAAGTTTGTATTGTGCTTGTATTAATTCTTATTTTCTTTGACTATATCTGGTGTGCTTGAATATATTGACTAACTTCTTTTAGTAACCATCACAGTTCTAATGCTGGTATTCATGTTAATCTGAACTTAAATCATCACTTTCTTCCATATTACAATTCACCCTAATGTTTACTGCATTTTAAAATCCATATTAGTCCTTTCAAAATGTGTTTATTCATTTTTTGTGTACGTAAAGTTTGGTTAATAATTACTTGACCATGTTTAGTATAATACTGACTTTTTCTGTGGAAAAAAAGATATAAACAGTGACAAGAAACTTGTGAGTTGTGTACTCAGAAAAAAATATAACTACATTCACACAGCCTTTATCTTTAATTCTTACAGCTTGATAGCTAAACTTCAGCAAGTAGTGCTCATTTTCTCAGGTGTAGTCAGATTGCTGTGATTTTTATACTACAGTTTATTTTCTTTAAAAAATGCTGTACAGTTGTACATGCTGCTGCAGGTGGCAGTCTTTCCTTTAAGTAGGCGTAGGTGTTTCTGCAACTGTGACTAATTGGGAAAAATCTCAATTTGATTGCACTGTACCTAATCTCACACATATATGTTCCTTTAATTAAAGGAATAAATTTCTAGTGCCAATTTGTAGGTAATTATCCATGTTACTTGTATGTAAGTGAAATTTCTGTGGGATGACCTTATTTCCATTGCCCTGTAGATGTATCTGCTGTTTGGAGGAAAAAAAAAAAAGAAAAAAAAAGACATTTTAACAAAGCATTGCTATGTTTGAATGTGGCATCACACTATACTACAGAAGTCAACAGAGTGACTTTTATTTGATTAGCTTCTTCAAAGCTGCCTGAAAAGGAGAAAAGATTACACATATCCAGTTGGTTTAATAAACTGCATTTTTCTTTTACTCTCCAGTTGGTTGACCGAGTATTTGATGAAAGTCTCAATTTTAGAAAAATCCCTCCACTAGTGCACGCCAAACCACCAGAGGGGAACGGTCAGCCTAATGATGCCAGACCTCAGCTGCCAGATGCCATGGATCCCCCAACAATTACCCGAAGAAGGACTTGGAGCAGAGATGAAGTAAGTACAAAAGAAATTTCTCTGTGGCAGTGGTTATGTTTCAGGTTTTCATAATCATCTCTCTGCTTAGCATTCTACACTATCCTTTCATTCCTACCTGTACCAGGTAGCATAAATACTGGAAAAAATTGTTTGTTACTTAATTTGCAAAATGTTTTAGTATGATCGTTTGTGTAGAATACTAATTAGAACACAAGTAATATTTTTTAAGGTTAAAAAAATGGGAAATGTATGGAATTGTTTATGTTTAATTCTATTTAAAACTTATTCCAGGTTATGGGGGATAGTTTGCTGTTGTCCTCAGTCTTCCAGTTTTCTCGCAAAATAAGACAATCCATAGACAAAACAGCTGGCAAAATCAGGTGGGTTTTCTTTTTAAAGTTAGTGTTATTTTTGAAAACGTTCTGCTCACATTGACATTCATGCTAGTAGGAGATGTATGTAATTCAAATAGAGCAAATGCAGCTTGTGTTTTGAAAAAACAACATCGGTTATGGTGAGTTTTTATTTATTTTATTTTTTTACTATTAAGGAGATTTCAAATTAATTGTTTTTCTGTTACTATTTGTATGTGTTTCCTATTGTATGAAGATAAATATCAGCAAAATTTGCATGGACAGGATAATATTCAACGTATTTCCAGCAGAAGAGCTGTTCCAAAGCATGGAAATGCTGTATAAAATCTGCATTACTTCTGCACAAACATCATAAAGCTCCCTTAATTTAAAAATAAGGTTAAAACTTTGCTAAACTGTGTATTTGCCAAGCTGATGTAGAGATCAACCATTTTAGGAAGAAAAACAGTTGGAGAGAGAACGGTTTCATTAAATCCTTCTGAAAAAGAACTTACTCTGGAGACAATAACTAAAATAACAGATGATGACATCTGTTGTTTTTAATTACTGAGTCCTGCTTAGATAGCTAGATTCCTGGCACAAATGTCATAGTAGCTAACAGGAAGTCCAGACCTATCAAAAATGGTAACTTGTTTCTCTATCAACAGCTGCATTTAACTTCAGTAACATTTGGTGGCCATTGTAGTTGACAAGAGGAAATGAAAATTCTAAATGCAAAGTTCAGTGTTGTTTAACTCACATGTCCTTCCTTCGTGTCTTATTGCAGCTAATAATTTAAACATAGTGTATATTAAGAAGAAAAGACACTTGGCTGAACTTAATGCCATGGTTTTTTTTTTTTGTTTTTTTTTTAAGTGTGAGAACATAGTAGGTCTGTAATTGATCAGTTTGGCTAGGAAGTGCCACGTATTGAAATCTTGGATATTTGTAAGTCTGTTCTATTTTTACCAGTGGTTACCAGTAACATTTGTGAGCATGGTATTTCCACCATCTCAGTATGTGTTTCCAGACTGACATGCATCTTGCTCGTCTTTCCGCGTTTCCCTTTTGAGGCTGCAGGATTATAATACTGGAAAACATTTCTTGGTTTTCTCAAGACATGTAACTTTATGTATGATGTTATTTGTTTAGATATCTTTAAGGAAAGTACATAAATGTCTTTTACTCTGTCAACTTCATTTGTAAATGAATTTTTGAAACATAGGTTTAAAATATAGTTGCTCTCAGAAACTCTGTATCCTGGTTCTGTCCCCTCCCAGGTTCTCATGTAGCCCTAGTTCTCTCACTGACGGGATAGTGCAAGAAGCTGATATCCTCCTGGTTTCAGCTGGCACAAAATTGATTTTCTTCATAGTTTCTGCTATGATGCTACATATTAGTTTTAGGAGAAAAACAATGGTGATAAGACATCAATGTTGTTGCTGAGCAGTGCTGTGCAGATTTAAGGCTGTTTCAGCTTCCCATGTTGTCTTGCTAGTGGCAGGACTGGGGGAGATGTGCACAAGAAGCAGGGAGGAGACGGAACAGGGACAGCTGACCAAACTGATGCTCTGTACCATATGACAGCGTGTGGAACAATGAAACAGAGGGTGGGTGGAGTTGGCTGAGGGGAGATGCCACTGCTTGGAGACTGGCTGGTCATTGATCAGCAGGCAGTGAGCAATTGTTGTGTATCTCTTTTTTGTAAACATGTATATTATATATATATCATTGTCATTGCTATTATTTCTCTTTTCCTATTTTTGTCTTGGAAAATAGTTTTTAGCTCAACCTGAGATTTATATTTAAAAAAATGTATAATATGTTCTACTTTTCCCCTCCATCCTCCCCAGTTCTCTTCCTCATTGCACTGGGAGTGGGGAGTGATGGAATGGCTGTGTGGCTGAGCCGCCTGCCTGGATAAACCCAGAGCACTGTGTCAAATTAAGAATTAGACTTTAATGTGCAGAACTTAATATAAATTACATAGAAATTCACAACTTACTCAATACTAATCTACCTTTGAGTTCACTGTAGCATTTACTTGAATAGCTCATCTCAAAAAATGAGCAAATAAGCTCTTGCGAAGAAATAACTTAATCTGATCATTATTTGGGATTTTTTCTAAAAGACATTAAACGTACTGTAAATAGAAGCATTACCAAAATATTACATAAATTTTTGTCTTCAGTGTAATTCTTTGGGAAAATTCAGTGACAACCATGAGGAGCCCTGCTTACCTGTATATCTTTTTTTCCTTTTAAAGCTGCGTCAGCGGAACAAGAATCTTACTTATTGATTGACTTTTTTATGGTAGGCTTGTGGGATGATACGTATCTTAAAATGCTGTAAAAGCAGTAGATAATAGATGCTCTACTCTTTTTTGTAGATTTTTCTTGATGCTTAGAAGTTCTGTAAGTATTTTGCCAGCACAGTTGTAGTTTATTTAACACAAAAATCTGAGAGTACTGTATAACGAACTTAAACAAATCTACGTATGCAAATGCATTCTGAGAAACAGTAATATCATCTTATACTTTTTGCTAAACTTTCTGAGCTTAATGGCTATGTAATACTACATTGTAATTAATGCAATAAAGCTATGATTATTTATGAAAAGATACATACGAGGATAGGGATAAACATGTGTACATTTAAAGAGAATAGCATTACGTGTTTCCATAAAAATATGTTCATTGGAGAATTTCTTTAGCATATTCCTCAGATCTGTGATCAAGACTTCCTTTACTGGCTACTCAGAATGGATTTGAATAATATTATGACATTTTTCATAATGTCATTGGTGTTTCGAATTAGAAAAACACAATAGTTGTAGAATTGGTTTTTTTAGTGAGTGTGTAAGGGAGCAGTGAGTTATGTACATCAAAACAAAGCTAAGATAAATTCTGTAGTAAGGTCAGTAGACTGCTATGCTTCTATTTATTTCCCTGGAGCTAAGCTGTTTAACATTTCTGCCCAGAATAGATATGATGAGAATCAATCAGGATTTGTCAAGCTAACATTTGTGTACAATTCCAGAGTATTTGACCATGAAAGGAGATGAGGAAGTTTTAGAGATGCCAGTGTGCTTGACTGTGTTGTTGAAGTTCTCCCTCAAGTTGCTTTGTTCACCAATATAACCTCATCTCACAAGAGTAGAGACAGTATGGGACAGTTACAGCAATTACGGATTCCACCATATATACTGAAAAATGACATCCATTCTGTCTGAGTCCAAATGGACAAATAAATGTTCTCTGTAAATGTCAATGCTTCTTTTTGTAATATTTTAGTTGCAGTAGCTAGTTTTACTGAAAATACCAGTTTTGCTTTGGCTGAAGTATTAAGAAGATAAATATTTTCAGTCTTGACAAGATGTGTCAGAAATTATAATGAGCAGAACTCAGTCATGAAAATAAATGTGCGTGAGGAAAAGAAGGGGAAATACGTGTCTTCCTGCTTGACTAATTTCTTCCCCATTTCATTGGAGCTGCCATTTCTGTTTTCCGATTTGAACATAATATTCTGACTTATACAGAGTTCTGTCGGCACAGGGGCACCCATTGTGCAGGCAGAGCTGCAGGCACCATGGCAGCTGAGGGAAGAGGCGTCGTGCTGCCACCAGCCTGCCCAGGCCCAGGGTTTCTGGCATCACCTGCTGCCTGGAGCTGGATGTCAGGGCTGCGAGCACTAAGGTTACAGGCTTAGGATTCACATTTGTGGTCTGAGAGCAGTGACCTCTCAGATAGCAACACATGCCATCCCAGCTCTGTGTGAGATGTGCTTGTCAGTGTTCTGGTGGGCTGCCTTAGGCAAAAGGAAGATGAGAGAAAGGAGCTGGGGGACAGCTGCTCTTTCAAAGCTAATTCTGTGGGACTGCACTCAATTTCTGTGAGCCTGCCTCTGCAGTAAGGAGATCAGATGAGGAGGTGAGGCTTTGGAAGAGGCTTGTTCTTCATCAGAGGGAGGGAAGGAAATGTTCTTCATGTGGTGAATTTGTGATGGACACAGCTGGTCCTGTGTGAAGTCCGTGCTGATAGTCTCTGATTCTATGATCGCTCCTACTTTATATTAAGACATAGGATTGAGAGAAGCTTTTGGAGCATTATTCTTTGGCTAAATTCTCTCAAAAGTGGTGAAGCTGTTTTTATTTTCTCCAGGTTCTAGTATACTGAGTTCAACTTGAAACAGATTCAAGTGCCCAATTCTTTCCTTTCACAAAGCCCTTTCTATAGATCTGTTTTTCTTCAGGATAAAGTCATAGCTTGGCTTGGCTAAGCTCCTTTTTATAATTCACTTTTATTCATTGCTGTGTTTAATCAGATTTGGTTTTACCCACTAGTATACACAAAATGACATTGTAATGGAAAATTGTGTGGCATTCTTGCCATGTATCTTGCACCCAGTTCTTTGCTAATGAATTACTCTGGTGACTTCTCGGGAAGCATGTATGCGGGTTTTTTTTTTGCTTTTCTATCTTTATATACCATATGAGTTTGCAGGAATTTTTGGAGATTATGAAGAGATGTAAGTATGAATTTCAGTGACAAGGCCTTCAGAGTTTTATCTGTACTGTATAAAGCAAATGCTGTACTATTGGCTTTCCTTACAGCAAACAGTCATTTAGAAAATATGTCCTTTGAGTGCGGTTAAAAGGAGGAGGAGCAAAGGAGACAGAGATGCTACTCATAAGAGATTAACATGTATTAAATGCAGAATTGGAGAAAATAAAGTAGGCTTCCCAAAATCATAGAAAAAACAAATTGACCAGTCTACTTTATAGTGGGAATAAAAACATTTTAAATAAATTTTAAGGTAAATGAAAAAGCAAGCAATGTCACCCTAATTTCTTTATTTTTCTACTCACGGTGTTTACTGCTAAATGAAGCCTCTGAGATGCAAAGTATTGTGAATTTCCCCCTTAAAAAGTTATTTTCTCAGAGTCCTACTAATAGCAGTAATGCCTTTAAAGTGTACTACTGTTACACTATGATGTTGAAATGGTTTTCTTGTTTGCTTGGCCGTCTGTTTGCTTAGCAGTTTTAGTACAGCTGTGTTTATTCTTGTAAGTCTAAAATACCATTAATGTTTGCTAGTCACATTTCCAACTGGAGTCAATACCTAATTATTGCAATTAAAGAAGAAATTGATTTAGAATATAAACTTCTAATATTATTATGACATCACTTAAAATAAGGAAAAAAAAATACCCTTAAATATCCACCAATTCTGTGTTTTCAGTAGTGTAACTATACACAATTTAAATGATTTTTATGATACTGCAATATCACAAAAAAAAATATTTCTCACAGCAGGGAAGCAAGGCAGAAACAAGCAAGCAAAAAACTTCCTCGGAATCTTATAATATGCTTTGGAATTTTACATACGCTGGAAGTGACTTCTTTAAACATGTAATATGATGATACTCCATTGTATGAAAAAAATTATATCCTGTGGGATGTATTTCCAAAAATGTTTTATTTGTCACCAAAATAATATAAAATACAAATATAGAAGTTCAGTTCACAAGTATTAACCTCTCGTGTATTTTGCTGTTATTTCAAAATACAACATTAACAGGGAATTCTGCTATTAAATAGTTGGATTATGAAATAAATAAATCTTTGTGCTGAAGGAAAGAAGGAACTGTAACTTTTCGACACCATAAGCAAGTATTTAGCTACACAACTTGCATTTTATTGTAAATATGGGTATTCCTGAACCTTTGTATGCTACTCAGAAGATTCAATCTTGGGTTTCTGCCTGTTTTCACTATTTTAGATTCCAGTTTTATTTAGTACTCACTACATTGCTTTTTTGTAACTTGTGTCTAATCCTTATGTTTTAGTTTGTTTACTTCTAAACATACTATCCTTGTATTTCCTTCTTTTAGAATATTATTTAAGGACAAAGACAGAAATTGGGATGAAATTGAAAACAAGTTACGAGCAGAAAGTGAAGTTCCTATTGTGAAAACATCAAGTATGGTATGAATAGTTATCTTTTCTGGGGTAGAATGAGCCTTTTTCTCATCTGATTTATAAATAATAAGTAGAAGAAAATGGTATTTTCACTGATGATGCTAACATCTATCTGTAAAAGGTTTCACTTTGACAGTATCTATTTCAATAAAGAGCTTAATCTTTTTAAATGATTACTAAGACTTGCTATCTTAGAACCTCTCCTAAGTAACTGTTCTGAGGGATTTCTCAGATAAAGAATAATGCAAAAGGATACAAACTATATACAGACTACATTGGGCACTATTATTTAAAAGAAGGCAGTAACCATCAGTTTGATTGCTGGTTTCTTTCAAATAAAGTTGTTTTACAATTTTAATGCTACTTCATCTACTGTTTTCTCATATTTAAAGAAATATTTACATTTTAATATACGGGTGTAAAACAAATTTGTAGACATACTGTAATAAAAGCACTCTTCTAATCTGTGTAATATAAATATTGTTCTCAAGTAATAACTGTAGGGTATCATCTACAGGTAGAGTTCATGTAGCATTCTGGCTGTGCATAATTGGAGCTGCTTCATGACCAGGCAGTGTGGCAGTGTGAGGGAACAGAGCACGAGTTATTCCCAGTACATTTTGGCATTTGAGGCTTTTGTGAGGATTTGCTTTTTGCTTTTTTTTTTTATTCCTACAATGCATTAAAGCATCTCATGTTGTTTAGAATTGCTTGATCTATGCAGTCATTTTCAATTTTCTACTTAGTTTTCAGAGTAATGTATCATTCAAATCCATACTAAAGCAATGTTTGGATTTTTTTTTTTAAACCACAAAATCTTATGAGGGGTTACCAGAGGACAGGTTTGCTTTGACCTTGGTACATTTATTTCCAGCTCAAATGAGGAATCTGCTTTAAGATAATGGCTTTGTAAAATACAGTATAATCCATTTCTTTGCCACCCACAAAAATTCTCTGCTCTCCCCAGCAATCAGATTAGCAGTATTCTCAGGCAGGATCTTTCAGCTGTAGGATTTACATACTTATTCACTGCACCACGTTTTAGATGATATTGTAGCCTTTCTGATCGCGTTGCTATGGCTATGTCTGTGCTAGCAAGCAGCGCAGCTCAGAGGGCTCTCCCAGGCAAATGGGTGCTGAGGGCCCAGTGGTGGCACAGTGCAGACTCTCACAGTGGCCCAGTGATTGAAGACAAAATCTCAGGGCAGTCATCTTGCTGACTATTCTGACTGACATCTAAACACGGTTATGAGTCAGCTTGTCTACCCTGTTAATATTGGGTTTATACTGTAACTTTTCCTTGTAAATTTGCAATCAGTTTGCCTCGTTTGTACACTGCTGTGATGTCTGTTGGTCAATGCTTGAGAAAAAGTAGCATAGGCAAATAAGTAAGGAGTAAAATGAGCCATTGTTGATTTGGGAAATTTGAACAGTCAAGAAGAACTCTTTATTTCCAAGAGGGCCATTCTAATCATTGAGACTCATGGTGCAAATGGCCTGGTCCCACCCACAGAAGGTGTTTTCAATGCCAGGAGGGGTAACGCAAATATATCAGAATCTGGGGAGGAAACTTATTTGATACGCAGCTTGAACGTCTTTTTCCTTAATGAAGCAAGTTCTTGAGCTTTGGAATATCTATTTCTTTCCTAGGAAATATCATCAATCTTACAGGAACTAAAACGAGTTGAGAAACAGCTCCAAGGTACGGATCCTTTTTTACTCCTCTCTGTCATTGCTGTCTGTTTCCAGTTTCTTTTATCTATATGTAGATAGCATGAAACAAGTACAAATGTCACATCTTATTAAAATAAGTATCAGTTGCATAAATTACACTGTATAATTACCAGCACATCTGGTTAAGAAACATCACTGAGTTAATTGTATTAAAACAGAATACTGATATATTTTTATGTGGGTGAGAAAAGGCTTAACTTAAAATGAAATAGTCCAGAGACTCCCAAAATAATTATTTGTGAAACTTCCTTAAGAGACGCGTTTATGTGAGCGAATTTTGAAGAGTGGATGCAAGCAAATCCTCATAACATGACATTAATGCGTCAGTAATAATCTCATGTGTAGAACAGTTCAATATAAGGAATGCATTGGGGCCACAGTCTAAGGAAACCTTTTTTAAAAATTTTATCTGACACCATAAAATGAAAATTTAGGATTATTTCTTGACATCTTCCCTTCACATTACTGGATCTGTTCTGCATAATTGCAGAATCCACAGACTATGAAATAGAACGGTTTTTTTTTCTTTGTTTTTCATCTTTCAAAGACTTTAATCTGAAAAATGAACAACAAAAAAAAGGAAGTGTTATGTTGACAAAGTCTGCTGCTTAGGCATATGTTGCAGTCATCAAAATCAATTTAAAAATTGAGAATATTTTAAAAAGGGGGCACTGATCTCTTCTTGCTGGAAACTGATGACAGGACACACAGAAGTGGCACCAAGCTATTTCAGAGGAGGCTGGGCATTAGGAAAAATTTGTCTACTGTGAGAGTGGTACAACACTGGCACAAAATTCTTAGCAATGTGGTTGATGACACATGCCTGCCAGTATTTGAGGGGCGGTCTTACTGGCCTGTGATCCTACTCCAAGCCCAGGGCATCCATTACCAGTGTCAGCCTCAAAGCACAGTGATTTGAGGATCCTCACCCTTGGCAGCTCTAGTTTAAAGTCCCCCTGATTAAATGGGAAAGCTTGCTGCCAATTGTGGTCTTCCCCTTGTCTGACAGATGAACCCTATTCTCCCCCAGAAGACCAGATATCTCTAAATTAGTTCCATGACATAAGTAGCCAGAGGCCTGTTCACAACATCACTCTCTTAGCCATTTATTGATTTTCTTAATTCTGTTGGTCCTTTCCCTCCCCGTTCCCCTAAACTGGAGGATTGATGAGAAAACTGTGCTCCCAAGCTCTTCACTGCTGCTCCAAGCTCTTTGTAGTCCCTGTGGTGGATATTCTTCAGGTTGCTGACAGCTGTGTCCCTTGTGCCAATGTGAAACAGCAGCAGGAGGTAGTCTGTGGAACATACAAGGTCTGGCAGCCTCTCTGTCACATCCTTGATGTGGGCTCCTGGCAAACAGCAGACTTCTCTAGATAGCATGTGAGGGCAGTAAATGTGTGCCTTTGTGCCCTAGTGAGATTGTTTGTAGGCTTTTACTCTAGACGGAGGTGCTAATATGTGAAAAGAATAAACATTTTTTATCAGTGCATGAAATAATATTTTTTTTATGGTTTCTACCTCATTCCTTTCAATCTTCTCTTAATTGCTTAGCTATTAATGCTATGATTGACCCCGATGGCACCTTGGATGCTCTGAGCAACTTGGGATTTGCCGGCCCCATCGTGCCAGCTCAGCCGAAGCAGAAGGCCAGTCCTGTTTCCCAGAGCGCCCGTCCCCAGGTGCAGCCAAACTGCCAGCCCGAGGCGCGGGCTGCCCGCCCTGCTGCCGGCCCTGCTGCCGCTGAACTGGGGGCTGCTGAATCCGAGCCAGATTTCAGCATACATTTCAGTAGGTTTAACCCAGACGGCGAAGAGGAAGATGCCACTGTGCGTGAATGACATCTCGCTGTTGGTAATAACACCCTTTGTGTGGAATGTCTAGAAATGGAAGGATTACAATCTCGGTTTTATAATTAAAAAAAAAACAAAACAAAAAGGCTTGGTCAAACAGCAGTTGTTTTATTAAACCAGTTTTCTTTAACTGTGATTCTTTGCTTGTCACACAAATCCTTTTCAAATCATAAGGACGTGCATAGATACAAGTGTAGGAAAGCAGACTGTGGCAGATTTGCCCTTTGTGGTTGTGCGCTTTGCAAAGAAATTATTATATCGGCAGTTTTCCCTTAACAGATTAATTTCTTTTTAAAAGCCATGTGAGCAGTCTAACATTTAATGTTACTGAAACCCCAAAATCTCTTTGCCAAGCTACTCTATTTAATGGATCTCCTCCTCTAAAGTTTGTACAGAACTGTTGAACAGTTGCATTCGATTCTGATTTAGATGATTTATATAGGAAACGTTATCTTTGGCTACAGTGACACATTACTGCAAAAGGTAAGAAGGATTTCAGAAAGCATTCGTTCTTGTGTGCCGAGAATCTCAAACAGTTCTGTGTTTCGTATGACCTTGTTGCTGCGTAAATTGTCTTGGGGTTTACAAACTTCACGTATTATGTTTGCACTAAGATTTGCTGGGAGTGGTAGGTGAACATATCGATGTCATTAAACAGCAAACGGTGTTTTGGTGTACTTAGAAAACTGATAATACCATACTTGTATTAACACTGCAGTGTTTTAATCCGCTTTCTGAAAGGATTATTTGGCACTTTTTGATCTTCAAATGTCTTTTTGATGTTCATAAAAGTACAAGTATCTCATATCTCATTTCTGCCCAAACGTTAGTTGAAACTAAAAAACAAATTTAATCATACAGGTACATGGGACATTTTAAAGCATATTCAGGCAAATGGGCTCTCATCAATTCAAATACAACATAAGCTTCTGAAAAAAAAAAAAAAAAAAAAAAAGACTATTCCTTGAGATAACGATGAGATGTAAAATTTCCTTTGGGGATTCGGACATAGAATTGTCATAATTTCCTTCATCAATACATGCACTCCCAAGCAAATGATTTTAATTTGCTTCTGTATATTTTCCTGTAGTCTTGCTAGTAAAACTGTCTCTGTCTTACATATTTAAAAGGATTCTGGAAGATGACTGCTAACGTAGACATTTTGCTTATACCACTGAAAAGCAAGTCTATTTAAAGTTTCCTATATAAGCCTATTTTCCTTATAAGTTGTCCCAGTAACTTAACATTTGGAAATAATAATAAAAATAAAAGTAAATTACTTTGTATTTCCAGAACACTGTAATTTGGAGGAATGTTATTTCTGTTAAATGTAACTAATAGACTGGAATTTTCCTATGTTTGCATCGGTCTCTATATATTAAGGTTGAAGATACAGTTTTGCAGCTTTTATGAAATGGTCTTTAATATTTCAGCAATAATCCTATATGACGTTTGTTTAAAAGAAAACTACTTTCTGTACACTTTTAAATTGTACAGGCTTTCAGAAGTCAGTAAAAGTTGGACCAGTTAATAAAAACGCAAAAACTTTTTTTGTAGAGATGTAAAAACAAAACCACTAATCTGTTGTATAATGGATTTCATATTTTCTTTAAAAAAGAATTAAAAGCAAACAGCCTTCACATACGACTCAATATGCTCTACTCCAGCTAACTGTGGAAGCCTGAACTAAGCTAGTTTACAGAGGCTACAAGAAAAGTTTTAGAAGGTGCAGAAGGGCAAAAACAAATAGAAACTAGAGCTAGGTATTGAAACAGAGTGTACCAAACCATCACCATAATTCCTTCTTTTGTTTATTGCTTGGGAACATAATTTTTCTGCAGACTCAAGTGGGAAGTAGGAGATGGCAAGGATGGCTTGGAGGTGCAGGCTCTTCATGCAGGATTCTGTTTGTGTTCTTTCAGGCGTTTATACCTTTCTGTTCTGTAAGAAGCATTTTGCATTACTATGTTCTTATTTTATATGAACATGTTCTCCTTATTTATTTTTGTTACATTTATTATGTATGTTATTTTGTTATATGCATTTACAACTCCATTTTTAAATAAATAAAGTGTTTCTGGAACTTTAAAAATGTGTAAATACGTAATTCGGAGCTGAGAAGTTCACACGGTCTTCTGCATTCTGTTCTACCTTTACTGAAATAGGAAATGACATTTTTCATGAACATCTCTTCTTCTGGAAAGGTTGTGTTATTGCCACTTCTGCTTCGTTTAATCTGTGCTGACAGTGCTGGCTCACTTTCCTCTATTTGGGTTCATTTCCACATTTGAATTTGTAGTTGTATGCAAAACTAGTAATGAAAATAATCCTGAGTTTTAGTCACCAAATAGTGATTGTTTCCCCTTTGTGGAATGGAAATAAGTGAGTTTTAATGTATCTGCCAGGTGCAGTATTTGATGTTTTCCAAACTGCTTTCCCATTGCTTCAGATGTTGGAAAACTTTATCGCACATTCTGAGTTGGCTTCAGATTGATGCCTTTTTTTCCCCCTCTTCTCCCAGCTTGGACTTTTTATGAACTTTTCTTCAGACTGCTGCATTTTCTTTTCTGTAGTTAACTTTGTGCAAGAAGAAAACTATGAGATTAGTGTTAAGTTCCCAGAATTCATTGCCAGCTTGCATATTTCAGAGTTATTGAGCTTTGCTTTGACTTGGCAGTGGGGAACTGTGATTTTCTGCTTATCTCTTGCTCCTTTTAGCCCTCAGTTCGATGTCACCAAGCCTGTTCTGGTGACACACAGTAGCACTCAATAGCACTCAGTTGTATGGGAGTAGGAGAGTTTTACTGATGTTGACGGATGCTCAGTTGGTTTAGTGAGACTTTAGCAACTGAGCAAGTCTTTCCAGATGCTCATGATTTTTTCATATTCCTCCACTTCATCTGCTGCTATTCACGTTTCCTCAGTTGTTGCCAGCCTCCCTTTATGTTTGCAAAAGTAAAGGAAATGCACTTCTGGGTTAATATACTCTAGCACAAATCCTCATTTGCTCAAGCATTAGTGGTTTGTCATTTATTTTCCTTGTAGCATTTTCATCTATCTGGCATGCTCTAGGCAAAGGTTATGCAGAGAAGTGTTCAAAATGCTTTGGGCAATCAGCTAGCCTGCTCCAGTCCTCTGCTTCCTTTTGTCATCAGCTAGGCTGAGTGATGTGTAGCACACAGAGAAAGGGGACACCACACCATTCTGGTCAGCATGCCAGCTTCCTCCCTTACAGGCCTGCACTGGTCCAACCAATGAATACTTCTAAGGACTATCACATCTAATTGTGGCATACAGAAACGAAGCTGAGTGCAATAAGAAGACAGTTCTCATAAGGCTTTTCCCTACAGGGACGCAGTGAGAACTGGAAGCTCTGTGAGCGCTGTGGAGCCGCTGTGGATCAACGCGGCTGTTTCCCGCCTGCTGGAGCCTCCAGGCAGCGGGGCTGGGGCTGGGCACAGCTCATCTCACAGGCCAGCACTGCCTGCAGGCCTGCCGGTCACTGCTAAAGCCAAAGAGCTGGAGATCGACCCTTCTGTGTGGCTGCTGTCTGAGCTCTTCCGATCGCTTCACAACCATATTTTCTATTATTAAATTCCTGTGAGGAAAGTTTCGTCCCAGTCTTACAGATGAGCAAACAGACTAACAGAAATGTTAGTGCACTTGCTGTCTTGTGAGCACTGAGGCAACATTGCCAGGGCTGACATCTCAGTGAGTGACACATGGCAGCATTGGGTCAGGTAAGGATCATTTATGCATTCCTGCACAGCCCGTGCCTCCCAATGGATGTGACAGAGCTGGGGCCTGTGTCTCCACCTGGGTCACTTTGCTCGCACTCCTCCAATATCACTGCTCACTGGACTGCAGGACTCCTCCAGGGGCTGCCTTGGCTGGATGCAGGCCGCACACAGCCGACTGAAGGCCGTGAGGTGTGCAGCTGTGAGCACCATGGCGGCTGAGGGGAGAGGCATCGCCTGCTGCCCAGAGCAGCGTGGGGGGTCCCTGGACACTAAAGTTAAGTCCTAGTACGCACGTAGGCCATCTGAGAGCAGAGTGACCTCTCAGGCAGCAGCGCTTACTGTCCCAGCTCTGTGTGGGATGTGTCCTTTGACTGATGGAAAAACTGACAAAAAAGGCACGCAGCTTGTCAGTGTTCTGGTGGGCTGCCTTAGGCAAAAGGAAGATGAGAGAAAGGAGCTGGGGGACAGCTGCTCTTTCAAAGCTAATTCTGTGGGACTGCGCTCAATTTCTGTGAGCCTGCCTCTGCAGTAAGGAGATCAGATGAGGAGGTGAGGCTTTGGAAGAGGCTTGTTCTTCATCAGAGGGAGAGAAGGAAACGTTCTTCATGTAGCAAATTTGTGATGGACACAGCTGTCCTGTGTGAAGCCAGGAGATGGCCTCCATGATCCTTGTGGATTCCTTCCAACTCTGGATAGTCTGTGATTCTAGGGTATGTATCAGTTTAATTTGAATTTATATGGTCTGTGTATAAGAGAAGTACTGTAATTCTCCATGCAAATTATGCACATTTATGTGCATATATTAAAAGATGTTCTTTTTTTTTAATCTCAAGATTTAATGGACTGGTGGAGATCGTATCATAAAAATTTTCAGCCATTGATAACTGGGTCTTGAGATTTGCTGCCAGCAAAGCACTATCAGTGAGATCTGCAGAGCTGCAGCAGCACTGAGGTAGTCGTTAGTTTCAGTTTTCTAACATAAGGACTCTGTTCCAAAATGAAGGATGAAGTAGAGAGTGAAAGGCATCCAAGCAACATTTTTGTTCAATTGCCCCAAAAATATCAGCAGTACGTGAAAGACGACATTTTGTACATCCACAGAGTGGGGCACAAACGAGTCTTCCTGTAGGGCAGGATGCAGCAGGAGGTCTCTGTAGAAGGGCTCCAGTCCTGAGTAACCAGTCATGGCTGGATTGCTGCTGTATGTTACAGATCTACATGAGAACAGGACCAGAAAACAGATTGCAGTATATACTGCTCAGAAAAAAAATCTTAAGACAGTCACCTTCCCATTTCAAGAGAGGAAAAATGCAGTGATGTACTGCATGGTACAGCATTGAGCACATGATCACTTTTTGAACAAAAGTATGTCTGAATCATCTAAGATTTTGTAGTTCGACTGCTATTGATCAGGACTTCAACTGATGAAGTTGTCTTGAGAGAAGTCACATCTCCCATTAAATCTGACAAAAAAGTAACCAAGTTTCCTAATTTCTTCTGGATGGCTACCACCAAATTACATGAAGTTAATGGCCAACCAGAAAGGATTTAGGTTTCCATTTTGTTCAAGAGTCTGAAAGGATAGAGCCAAGTGGATGATCCCATGTTCTGTATGATGTTTATTAGCATCTTTTTCAAATGAGAAATGAGAGGCAGAAGGACCCATGACCATTTCAAGGCGGCCAAGTTACGCTGGGCTCTAGCTGTGCCCACACTCTGGCTCTCTGCTTCTCTTCTGTGATGACAGTTTCAGCAAAAAAATGCACAAGATTTTTCCCACTGATGGAGACCTTGGTGCTGAGCTCTGAGAAGCAGAGGATAAAGACAAAGCAGTGGTGCTTCTTTTAGCAACAGAGATTCTGAGGAACAAGGTTGGGATCTGGTAATGCTGAACCAAGGTGGACTCAATTGAATATAAAAAAAGGTGCATTACAGTCAGGGTCAGAAATTCCTCAAGTAAATCAAATGAGAAAAAAAAAAATACAATTTGAAAAGATTCCCGTATCCTGAAAATATCTGAGGTAACTAAAATGTTGATTGGACCAATCTACCAACTGTTCATATAAACCTGTGAAACCAGCTACTGCTTTTCCAGTCTGAACCTTAATAACTAATGAGTCACGTTGAAAAAAAATGCAGAAATTTTTTGTTGCCTGAAAATTCTGCTGATTGCCTGGGTGGAAAGTCAGGCTGTGCTGTGGAGGCTTTCCTTCCCCAGGAGAGAGTGGGCAAGGGGACATTTGGCACTTTTCTCACACGTTAATTCTCTAATCAGGAGCAGTGAGGACTGCAGGAGCTGATGGTTGGCAGAACTGTTCCCACGGCCCCGCAGACCTCATGGCCATGGCAGAGGCAGCCCCATGGCTGTGGGTACAGCACTGTGGGGCAGGGACACAAGTCCAGGACACACGGAAGATTGGAATGCCAACAGGACTCTGGAAATGAGTGAGTCCTCCTCTATGCCTCATTGGCAGGATAAAAACAGGTGCAGGGCTTCCTCATTACATTTTGAACACTTCTGAAAGCTTTGGTAAACAATTACATCTGTTTCCTAGAATGAGTGAAATTCAACAATGCACAAACGAGGGCAGATGTTCAGCTCAGTGATGGAACTGTGAAATGATGGATCTTAAACAAGGTTGCTTGAAGCAACTAAAGAAAATGCCTCAGGGTCTTTGTGCAATCCCTGGAGCTTGTTCAAAAACATGGAATGAGGGAGGAGGGGGAAAGGGCCATTGCTACACTGAGATGCCAGAAGCAGTCCTGTGCTGTTGCTTAGTTTGAAGTATTATAAAATAAAGGCATTTGACAGCTGAATAGGATCAAGAAAAACAGGGGGTCAATTCAGGCACCAAAGTTTTTTGCCTAGATGTACAAATAGTGCTGAAGGATGGAAAAGCCAAGGTGCTATTGCTTGGAATCAAACAGAAGAAAAAAAATGGGAAATCAGGATAGTAAAAGTCAGATAGCTGCACTTTGGGTGAGACATTTTGCAGACTGAGTTGGCAGAGTGCTAAAACTGTGCAAGATTTATTTACAGGGAATGACTGGAGAAAAACCAGCTGAAATAAATCTTGAATATTCCCTGCATTGAAATCACTCTGTATATGTGTGGTCCAGACAAAGTTCATTTTAATCCTCAAATTTAATATCCTTCTACGTCTCAAAGTTTCTCAAGATTAAAAGAAAAATATTATCATGTCAGAGCTATAATTTGAATAATTCTGGCTTACAG